CACCTCTCAAGCCACCTCTCGAGTCATCTCTCAAGTCTCCTCTCCAGTCTCCTCTCAAGTCTCCTCACGAGTCCCCTCTCAAGTCCACTTTCAAGACACTTCTCAAGTCTCCTCTCCAGTTCCCTCTCAAGTCTCCTCTCGAGCTACCTCTCGAGTCACCTCTCAAGCCACCTCTCGAGTCACCTCTCAAGTCTCCTTACAATTCAACTCTAAAGTTCCTTCTCGAGTCATCTCTCAAGTCTCCTCTCCAGTCTCCTCTCAAGTCTCCAAACGAGTCCCCTCTCGAGTCCACTTTCAAGACACTTCTCAAGTCCCCTCTCAAGTCTCCTCTCGAGTCCCCTCTCGAGTCCCCTCTCAAGTCCCCTCTCAAGTCTCCTCTCGAGTTCCCTCTCGAGTTCCCTCTCAAGTCTCCTTTCGAGTCTCCGTTCAAGTTCTCTCTCGAGATCCCTCTCAAGGCACCTCTCAAGTCACCTCTCGAGTCTCCTCTCAAGTCCCCTCTCGAGTCTCCTCTCAAGTCCCCTCTCGAGTCTCCTCTTGAGTTCCCTCTCAAGTCCCTACCCAATGTCCTGGTCCGTTGGAGGTTCCGCTGGGGGTCCTGCCAACCCTGTGTCCTGTGCTGTTGGAGGCTCCGCCGTCTACTCTTCTGCCGGGGGTCCTGCCAACCCTATGTCCTGTGCCGTTGGAGGTCCCGCCAACTACTCTCCTGCCGGGGGTCCTGCCAACCCTGTGTCCTGTCCCGTTGGGGGTCCCGCCGACTACTGGTCCTCTTCCGTGGGGGATCCTGCCGAAGCCTGTCCCACCGGCTCTGGTTCCTGTCCGGCCGACACCGGGTCCTGCCTGGCCTCCGGAGCTGTCCCGTCAGCGCCTTCCTGCCCGGCCTCCGGAGCTGTCTGGTCTTCGCCCTCGAGCCTGGCCCCCTGAGTGCCGCGGTCTTCGGCCTCGAGCCCGGCCCCCTGAGTGCCGCGGTCTTCGGCCTCGAGCCCGGCCCCCTGAGTGCCGCGGTCTTCGGCCTCGAGCCCGGCCCCCTGAGTGCCGCGGTCTTCGGCCTCGAGCCCGGCCCCCTGAGAGCTGCGGTCTTCGCCCTCGAGCCGCGGTCATCGCCCTCGAGCCCGGCCCCCTGAGTGCCACGGTATTCGCCCTCATACTCGGGCCCCTGACTCTTCCTGCCGCTGCCTTCGCCCTCATGCTCGGCCCCCTGAGTTTGCCCGCTGTGGTCTTCGCCCCTCCATGGACTCTACCTTGTCCCCGGGCCGTCCGCCCGAGACCCCCACCTTGGACTTTGCCTTGCCCCCGGGCCGTCCGCCCGAGATCACTTCCGGGCCCTCCGCTGTGCTCCTGGGCTGTCAGCCCAAAACCCGTCCTCCAGACCCCCTCCACCCACCCTGCTGGCCCCTAGTTTTGTTTCTGCTTGAGGTTTTAGAGACGTCTGGAATCCGTCCCTTGAGGGGGGGGTTCTGTCACGATTCTCATGTTATGTCACGTTTGTAGTTTTGTATGTTTGGGTGTTTGCTGGCATGTTTTCCTCCTGGGTTATTGTCTGGTCCTTTTCCCTGTGTTTTTCCTCCCGTCGTTAGTTTCCCTGGTGTGTCTAGTTGTCTGATTGTGTTACTTGTCCTTGTGTTTCTCCTCCCCTGCCCGGCTGTTTCTCGTCTCGTGATTACCCCTCCCTGTATTTAGTCTTGTCTCTTCCTGTGTTCAGTGTTGGTTCGTCTTTTGTTGGTGACTGAGTTCACCGGTGAGTGTTCTGTTTTGTCTGTGTTAGTTTCATTATCCTTGAAATAAAGGTTTATCAGAGTTATCTGCATTTGGGTCCTGCTTCCTTCACTCAACCGTTACACATTCAGAATTCATTCATTATTTCACTGTAAACGGTTAAAAAAAGAAGACTTTGAAATGAAGAAACCAACACGGTAAAAGGCATTTTCTGGGTTTTATACAGGCTCAGTGAGAGGAGAAGCAGAACCAAGTGTAATGAGAGAATTGGTGAAATGCAGTAATTATGATCCAAACTATTTATTCTCACGAAATATCACCTATGTATATCTTTATAAAGGTTGGCCAATCGGTAGTGTCTAAATAATAATGTCATGCTCTATTAAAAGCCTCTCTGGATTTTCTTTAAATTGAGATCAGAGGTCATCCTTGTGGTGAGTATGTCCATCACATACTCACCACAAGGATGACCTTGCTTTGAAGCACTTCAGCAGGGAGTATATTTGACACTTTTCTCAAGGTTTATTCACTTCGCAGCACCATGCAAATGAATCAGAGGGTGCAACTGATGTTCCATCTTGTTTTCTAACCCAACCTCAGCACTGGTTAAAAGCTTTTTGATGGTATTTTCATGTCCTCATGTTTTCATGAGGATCAACTTGGTTTTAATCAAGGCTCTTGACTGTGACCTGACATCAAATTGTGACTGATTTAAGGGGGGCTGTGACACTGGCAGATTGGTGGGCAGGGACTCTTAACAGTACAGATTGGGTGATAATGAGGAAGTGCTCTAAACAGGCCCTAATTGGTACTTCTGTAACTTCCCCTCAGAAAGTGATTTGGGGAGTCATGGGTCTTGGCTGAGGGAAGCTAGGAGGATGAATCTCTTGTGTGAAGTTGTGAGCGGGGTGAATTGGCAAGGCGGGCTCAGCCACTTGATCATCAGGGAAATGTTATGCTCTCGTGTAGCAAAGACAGTTAAAAAAAAAAACAGAAAATACGCAGTGTTGTTCTTTTGCTTCAAATAAATGCATTTGTTGAATGCTAGCGCAAGAGCTTTTCCAATATCACTGTGAAGTTGTTATCACTGTGAAGTTGTTACAACTGTCGCTCTACAAGTGACATAGGTGATACTCCAGAGTGCAAACGAAGTCCCTATGTTGCATCACATTTGAAACTATAGAATATCTACATGTTTACTTTAATTAACATCACTTGGCCTTTCCTTAAAAAGAGCTCCTTAATCTTAATGGGACTAATTGGTAGATAAAGGTTAAATAAATAGGACTTCACCCGCCTTCTGTATTTGTCAAGAGATAATCGGAGAGATAGCCTTCCAGTATAAAGTCATGCAAACAGGATCTCATTAGCAAATGCAAATGAGAAAACACCAAATCTTCGCAGAGAGGCAGAAGTGTATCTCCATGGGATAGCTGGAACATGACAGCTCACCACCCGCCCCCACGCTGAGCACCAAATGTGATGGTCCGCTCCTGCTGCTACTCTTAACAGGATGTAGGACCAGACCATAAATGTAAGCATTGGGAGGGTGGGGATAAGGAAGTGGGTCGCTATAGAGGCCTTTACCTTCTGCCATTTAAAGCTGTAAAAAAATGTGTGACTATTGTGAAAAAACAATCAAAATGGTATCTGTTTAAAAGTTATTTATCAAGAGAGGGTTATATGAGCAATACAATACAAGATAAGATAAACCTTTATTAATCCCCATAGGGAAATTCAGTAATAGCCATAAGAGATTTTGTTTTTTATATAAAAGGATAAACCGTATATTAGAAAGTAAGTAATTAAACTCAGAAAAGCGTGTGCATTATCTACCTTTTATAAATGAATTTCTTACTTTTTTTTGTATCTGAGCTTGAAGAACTTTTGATAAGGAAATAAATACTTTGACCAAAGAAAGTTGTTATTTTATGCAATGGTAACTAATTAACACAAGGAAGTAAAAGATGAGCTGTTAAAATCGAATTACAAATGTTCATGGGCTGCAAGGTAGAATAATTATCTTTGTATGCAAATCACATCACAAGAGGGGAGGACATAGTTCTGGGTTCCTGTGTGCTCTGTGAAGGCCACTAGGAGGGCAGAACGCTGAGATCATATTCAATTAAAGTGATAATTAATTAGGTTTGTATGTCTGTAAGTTGTTGAGAGGGCATTTTCCCAGGAAGTGAAAAGGCAAACCCTCACTGCCAATCAGATCTCTGGTGTGGAGAGCGTGTCTGTCGTGACATCACAAGCTGTGGCGGGCAGAGTTCCTGGCATGGCTTCAGACCAACAGACCTTCTGCTGCCAGCAGGGCGGCAGTGGCCCAGGGCAGGGCGGCTATGGCCAGGTCACCAGCTTTTTCCTCCTGCCTGGCATGAGCACTGTGGGAGGGGGGGGGGGGGGGGGGGGGCAGCACAGATGGCAAGATGTCAGAAACAGGCCTTTAGACGTGTCAAAAAGCAGGCACAGCTAGGGAAAGCTGCTCATCGAGCGTGACACAGACACAAGTGAGGCCATCATGCAGACAGGCTGACCAATACACTCATGATAACCAAATAGCATATTCGCATAAAGGATTTTTGTTACATCTGTGGTGAAAAGTTATGGATTTTTAATCTAGAACTTGATATTGTTTTACATCACAGAGAGCTATAGTATTTATTCTGCCCTTATGCCCAGAATAAAATCAATAAAATGCTGGAAATTGATTTTTAAGATCCTTGGACAAGTTTTAAGACAGATTAAATGCTTTAGTTTGAATAAAAGCTCTGTTTTTTTACACAAAGAAGTATGATCAAATTATTTAAAAAATGGCATACTCTGTGTTAATCATGACAAATCCAAAGTATATGAACATATATTGGTTATTTCAACATATACAATCATTTACACTAAAAATCCATTCACAGTGTATGTGTACTGGAGCTTTCATGCCGCTGTAAAGTGGCATATTGGACTGGCTCCACTCTTTTGATGTCACAATCAGGCATGTATTAACCAGTTCTCCATCTTCAGATTTAAGGTGGGCACATAATAAATGTCCCCCTATCATTAGATGAATGTTCAAACAGCGTGAAACTGCACACCGCACACCATCCAAGTGCAGTATCAATAGACACATTTTGAGTGGAGGGGGGACCTTTAAGATATTTCTGAAGGCGAGTGAATGCAGAAAATGTGTGAGAGTGTGGGAAACCCTGCACTGCAGGGACAAACAGAAACTTTTCAGCACTTAACACTGCTGACTAACTGTTTTTACCATCCATACATTTGACCATATGTGTTTTTGTGTTAGATGGGTCATTTGCTAGATGAAGAAAGACAAAGCTAAAGTAAAGAGAGGTAACATGCTTGGGTTTCAATCAAATTAAGATAGAGTGAACAATTGGTAAGATACAAATAGTAAATGATCTAAGAATAAGAGTACAAAGATCCTCTCAAGCAGTAGGTGTAGGGGAACCAGGGGAAAAAGTTATAATTTTAAACTTAATTTAGGACCACTAAAACTTCTTGTGCACAGTTAGTTCTGTGAATTCTCACTATATATTCATGACTTCCTGAAATAAACAACTCAATGAGTTTATCAGTGCAATCAGCAGAGATGTATTAGCTTGAGATTGTTTGCTGTTCAAACAGTTTACCCAAATAGTTGATTTGTCTTGTTTGATGTTCAATGTGTTTATTTCAGAGGTGGTGACCTGATTCAATAATCCTCTCACTGTCATTGTCATGTAAACTTTTCTAAGAGCGCAGCAGCAGCTGAGCATCGTCTGGGGTTGAGGAGAGCTGGGCTTTAAGTGCCCCATTCACACAGTAATACAGCATCATTTGGAGTCTGAATTTGGTTCCCTTTGAAATAGAGATATGAGTCCCTATAGCTCCCAAATGATCTGTGAATTCTTTGTGCTTTTGTGACAGAGGTATGTGTATATTGGGGAAACAGTTCGGCAACATTCATCATCAGCAGTGTACGTTTTTGTTGGGGATGAACCAAAGAAAAAACCAAGAGAGCCACAGGTTTGTATAGTGACATTTAAAATAACATGTATTTGTGTGTATTCTTTACACTAAGTTTTCACTCTTTTCAGACCGTTATGGAAAAATCCCAGAGATGCAAAGTAACACGTTTAGCAACAATAGTTTATATCTCTAAAAGTTACCTTGAAGTGTATTAGCAGTAACTCTTATTCTGATTTGGGGCTTTTTTTTGGCTATTTTTTAAGATATATATATATATATAACCTTGTGGCCGGATCAGCACCTTCCAGATATATGAACATAAAACTGGATTTATTTCAATTTGAGACTTTATATTTGTATACTTCACCATACACGTTGCACTACAGGCCCCTAAAGGAACTATCTAAGCCCTGAAGGGAGAGTTTTTGTTGGTGTATGTGAGGAGGACGAGACGAATGAATTGGGGAAGAGCCTCACTCGTATACACCCTGGCAGTGATGTGATGCCCCTCCCCTGGAGATCAGAGGAGAATCTGATAATAGGCTGCTATCTGTGCGTTATGGCCACACAGAGAGAGCGCCTCTCCTATCAGAGCATCCTCCTCCTCCTCCTCCCCATGACTCAGGCTTTACTTTTACTCCAACATGCTGTCCTGTGCTGCTATGGACTCAGATGAGAAGGCTACTTCGCGCATTGATGTTGCCTAAGTTTTTTATCGCTGAAATTATTCGCTTGAACGAAAACAGGAGGCATTTTCCCTTGGTAAGTTTATATATTTGTATTTTTAGATAAAAATGAGTACCTTATGCATGACACTTCGATTAAACATTTGATCATTTAAAAATTGAAACAGAATATACATGGAAACTGTAATCGCTCCAAAATACACCTTCAATTATTTGAAATGATTTACAGGCAATTGAGACACATTTTATTGTATACACATTTTTCTTTTAACGTAGGCCTATTTTCTTTTATTTGGATAGGATATTTTACATTTGTTTTTTTTCTCGTTTTCTCACTCCGAACTGTCTGATCTAACCAACATCACAGGTTTCTTCAAACGGAAACATAATTGGCTATTTCTCTATTTCACGTTGGGTATCCCGTTGGGACACAGAGTCGTTTCAGAATTGAATGAATGCAAATTCATTATCTCTGAATAATAATTTAGGATTAACAGCATCCTGTCTATTATCTAGAAAGTCGCTACATGTTTACATTTATTTGTGTGTTGATAAAATAATAAATACAGATCTGATAGCGTTTCGTAATTATGTGTGATTATCTTGTAAAATATGAAAATCCATTAGCCTATAAGAACAATTTGAGTTACTACAATGTTTGCGGTTCAAATTGAACATTTAAAATGTTGCACTAATTTCAAGAATCGTACGCGAGCTTTCACTTCAGATTTATATTACAAAGTTACTCCACCAAAATCGTATCATTTGTCGTAAGATTAACGAGAAATCTCGAGGAGGTTAACCACCTGAAGTATCATCATTTATTTTTGATTTGGTCCGTTAGTTAGTCAGTTAGCTTAGGCTACATATAGGCTATTTGTTATGGTTGTATTTGAACTATTGACTTTAGTGGCCACGGCAGTTTATTTTATTACCTTGAATTATATCAACAATTTTCATCTGATTTAAAAAAAAGAAAAATAACTAAAGGAGAAATAGAAACGGAGGTCTATGGTAAATATGACGTCGGCTACTTTAAAGTCAGTGATTTGTTATAGACAATAAAATAATCAGTTCAAGTTTTGATAGACTTCAGGACCACACCCTGAATCACTGCAGGAAGAAGTGATAATGGCTTTCATTTGAAGACGGATTACTATTTGTTCGTCTGCTTATTATGGCACCAGTTTAAGGCCTTTCAAGTTATGGTAAACCAGGTAACCGACCCCACTAACTTCATGGGCTGCTATCAACCGCATGCATATGTTTCTGTCTTCAGACTGGTGTGGATGCTCGCATGAGACTCCTGGAAAAAAGAACCATTTTATCTGGGATCGAAGTAAGCAAATAATCTCCAATACAAGGCAACAAATCAGTCATGCTCGGCGGTGAAGGGGAGAGCAGCAGCTTCTCCTCTAAGGAGTCAGCGGGGGACAGGCGCAAGTCTCCGGCTGTAGAGGCGGAAGACCCGGCGGCTGGCAGCAGATACACAGAGCACGGGATGGGTGCAGACCGTTCATACTACCTCCATTCTTCTGTTTCTAAACAAAGTCTAGAAACACCGAGTCCCTGCTCTTTTATCCCTTACACCCCCTGTGGGACGGTGTACACCCCGTCCAGCGCCACCAGGTACCCCTCATCTCTCCACCTGGGCTCCGTGCTGCCTCCCGCGGGGTTTCCCCCCTCCTCCGGCCGCAGTCACTTCAGCCCGGCTTACCAGCTCGGGCAGAGCCCCGGCTGCCTCTACCCGCCCTACACCAGCTCTGGCTCGGCTCTGAGCAACCTGAATCTACCCACCATAGGCCCGGGGATGAGGGCCCAGGTTTACCTCTGCAACCGGCCGATGTGGCTCAAGTTCCACCGGCACCAGACCGAGATGATAATCACCAAGCAGGGCAGGTGAGATGGAGGGTCAGGAGGGTGTATCTTTAGTGATTTTCATAGGGATTTAGTGACGTGTCTATTCATGAATTATATCTTTATTTGCTCGGAAACAAGGAGATTTTTTTGTTATGCTAAAACTTTCTGTAATTTGTTGTATTTTGCTGTGTGTCTGCAGACGGATGTTTCCGTTTCTCAGTTTTAACATAGCTGGTCTCAACCTGACGGCGCACTACAACGTGTTTGTGGAGGTGGTGCTGGCGGATCCTAACCACTGGAGATTTCAGGGTGGCAAGTGGGTGACCTGTGGGAAGGCAGACAACAGCAGCCAAGGTACTGAAACTGTTTTTCAACATTTCCTTTAGTTCGATGTTGAATTGATGTTCGTGTTGGGTTATACATTAAGGGCTAACTATCTTGTTTCAATAATAAAAACTAAACATTTTGGAAATAAGTGAAACGGGGAAATAAAATATTTCTTATTTGAAAAAAAAGAATTGTATTCAACCTTTTTTTACGAGTAGTTTTGAAATAAGGTGTGCAAAATCACGTATTAAAAAAACAATAATTCAGTAACTTATGGTTCTCTTTCTCTTTATTTATTTATTTCAGGAAACAAAGTGTACATCCACCCAGAGTCTCCAAACACCGGGGCACACTGGATGAGACAAGAGATCTCCTTCAGCAAACTGAAACTCACGAACAACAAAGGAACAAATATCAATACTTCACAAGTATGGCAAAGCAAAAAAAAATACAGAAATAAAATTCCCTCCCGAATATTAAAATAATTAGTTTTGAAATGTATTGTAATACATCTTAAAGTAAAACAAATATCTATTAATAATGTGGTGCATGCAAACCATTTAATTTGGAGAAAAAAACATAGCACATTCGTGTGTATTTTAAAACTATGAACAACTTTTTTTTAAAACGTCATTATTTGTGTTTGGAAGAAAATGTATTTGCGTATTTTGGCCAAACCATTTGTAGATTACATATTGGTTATTGTAATGGCTTGGATGGTGTTTACATGCAGATGGTTGTCCTGCAATCGCTGCATAAGTACCAGCCCAGGCTGCACATCGTGGAGGTGACGGAGGACGGGGTGGAGGACATCAGCAGTGAGGGGAAGACTCAGAGCTTTACCTTCCCAGAGAACCAGTTTATAGCTGTGACTGCCTACCAGAACACTGATGTAAGCATTAAAACAAACACACTTCTGTGTATGTCTATAGAAAGTTATTATTGCTTCGTCTAAATTCCCTGTTTTACAACAATTTATTTGTTTTGTTCTATCAGTGTATTTGTAAATTCCCATTAAAATTCAACATTGGATGACATTTCCTAATGTTAACATTATGTTTCTGTAGAAATGTAACTGCATGATGCTTCTTTACATTTTTCTCTGCTGATCTTCACATATACATATTAATTGTATCCTTCCATTTTGCTTTGTTATAGATCACACAGCTGAAAATTGATCACAACCCCTTTGCCAAAGGATTCAGAGACAATTATGATTCGTGAGTATTTTTACTTCATTGTCACAACAGTTATAAACTGAATATAAAAATACAATTTTTACAACATAGGGCTTTCAGTTTTTTATTGCATCAAACTCTGTTGTAAATGGTTTCTTAAATTTGCCAACTTAATTTTTGTTGTTTCATGGGAGTTTGCCAACTCATTTTGAAAGATGTTTTTTTTACCCAGACACTGCCCTTCATTGACCTCAAGTTCATACGTACATATATTTTCCAGGATGTACGCAGCCCCAGAGAACGACCGCCTCACACCATCTCCTACCAGCTCTCCCCGTTCACACCAGATTGTCCCTGGGGCCCGGTACGCCATGCAGCCCCTCTTCCAGGACCAATTTGTCAATAACCTCCCTCAGAATCGCTACTACAACAGCGAGAGAGCGGTGCCGCAGACAAACAGCCTCCTCTCACCTCAGGCAGAGGACGCCACTTCGCAGAGGTGGTTTGTCACCTCCATGCAGCAAGGGGGAAACGGCACTAGCACCAACAAGCTAGATCTGACACCCTATGATGGGGAATACTCAAGCTCCCTGCTTCCCTATGGTATCAAATCCCTATCCATGCAAACATCCCACGCTCTCAGCTACTACCCAGACTCTCCCTTCACCACCATGTCTGCAGGCTGGGGGTCCCGAGCAGCATACCAGAGGAAGGTTTCTCCAAGCCTTCCTTGGTCCCCAAGGCCCAGCACCACCACTGGTTTTCCAGAAGACTTAGACAAAGTGAAAGCACAGATAGAAGAGGAGGTGAACGGCAGTGCAAGCCTGATCTCCTCCTGGACAGAGACTCAGCCATCAGCTCTGTCCTTAGACAAGGCAGATTCATACTCAACGGCATGCAAACGAAGGCGCTTGTCTCTCAATGGCCCCATCACAGAGGACTCAATCTCTGACATCAAGTGTGAGGACTTGGCCTCTGCTGCCATCAACAGTAGCTCCTATATCAAAGATGCCCCCTCATCCAAATGCATGGCAGCTTACTATTCCTTTTACACAAACCCTTGAATGGTTTCTCTCTGAAATGTTTTGTCTCTCATTGTGGCTGTTCTTCATCTGCCACCTTAAATGAGAATAGATAATATTTTGCTTTTCATATGTGGACAGTCAGAATTTGTCTCGGTAGTGATACATGTTGTGATAATATGTATATTTTTTTCCTTTTGTGGTAAGACAGAAAAAGTTCATATGACATACAGTAAAAGGTTAAAGGGCATGGGAGGCACAATAAGCATCCCGTGTTAGCGTGTTCCATCTATTCTGTCCTTCTGTTTACCTGAACAATATATTTTATCGCCACCTCATTTATGTAACTCTGTATTTTAAGTTTTGAAAGTGCCAAAGCATTTTTTAGGTTTATCAGTGTGCATTCATTACTGTATCTGCCTTTACACTGATGATATGTGTTTACAAATTATTTATTGGAGGCCTGTGAATATGACATTCGTGCACTCATAAAATGTGAAGATAATATGCTGTACCTTCATTACAATGTTCGGATATTTGATAATAAAAGGCATATGTGTTCTACTGAGTATCTGAATGGTTCATTGTGTCTGTTTGAATACAATATCCTTTATGTATTATGGGGTATTATACACATTTGTTTGAAACATGAATAAACAAAATCTACATTTAAATTGGTTTATTGCACATAAAGAAGCGGCACATGCAAAGGAGTGTGATTGTGTGTAAATCCAATTAAATTAATTTAACCAATGAGGCTTGTATTTATTTTTTGATAAATGCTTTAACAAATGCATGGTCCAAATCAAGGTCCTGGTGGTTGAAGTGATACAAAGCACAACTTCATGCCCATTTGAAAAGCATGATTTGTTTCCGTGGACTCTGTCGCACTCTAGTGGCATTTTATTGTAGTCACAAAAATCAATCAATACAGCCTGTTGATTTGACAGGTCCCTAGTGAATTCAACATTAAAATTCGGTTATTTCTCAATTTCAATCTATTCTAAAACTATACTCTACAGTTGAACAATGGAAGATTTTAATTTTTTCCACTTTTTTTCTTTTCTTTTTAATATCTCATATATTTTCTGTATATTGTAACCCGCAGGCTTTTAATTTGAATCATCTGAAAGCAACTGGCTTCTGATTCTGAGCCTTTGTGATAAACAGGAAAAGGACACAATGGACTTCCGAAAGAACGAACTAACACAAAAAGCATGCACTTTTTGGAATACTGCTTCTCATAGTCTTTCCAAAGTACTTCGACAGTGTAAATGGAGGGTGTAAAACTCAATTAATAGCCTCAGTGTGCTTATCGTTCATAGTTTAATCTGTCCGGAAAACGAGCCATTTCCATCCCCGCCTGTTGGGGCTTGTGCTGGCAAACCCGTAGAAGCCAGCAGAGTCAACGAAGAGTTGACAGGAACAACATCATTGCTTCGTGCACACATTTTTTATGGATTACCTCACTAACAAGAAAAGCCTCTGTTCATTGTGCTAGCGAGTGACAGCTAATCCACAAATTAAGGTCTACCACGGCGAGATGTACCGCCTGTGTAAGTCTGCAAACTTGTTACTCATTGTTTACTGTGAGTTTATCAACTGTGCTAGCTAAGTTGGCTAGCAGTGCAGTTAGCTTGCTAGCAGGTCCGCTATCGTATGCACTGACGTTAGCCAACGCAGACACTGGCGTCATGATGTTTTATGTTTATGATTAACATCCAGCTAGCGAGGAATACTGTGTATTGTGGTTGAAACAAGCCCTTTCAACAAACGGAATGGTTTGCAGCTAACGTTATCTAAGGTCAGTTGACTGGTTGTTGTTGTCATTAACCAGAAATGTAACAACGCGTTATCACGGACTGTTCATTAACACAACACGCTGCTGTCGGTTAGAGCTAGCGAAAATGGTAAACACTACACAACATGGGGAAAGGCCTGCATGGAGGACTTTAGTGACAAGTCGCACTACGCAGACACACTGTTACATTAATGTCATGTTAATGTCCTTAGCTGATTATGTTTTATAGCTATTGTTAGGTGCTTGTGGGCGCTGTCATGGAGCATGGGTTGTCTCAATTGTCAGATATGTAATTAGTTATTTGTAGTTACCTTAACTGTGTTGCCATCTATGAGGTTATATGTGTTCAAATATCAGGTGTTTACAAGTGTTCCCCTAGGTGGGACATGTTCTGTTAGTCTTACTGTGAGTGTTTATGATGTCATGGCATCACATGGCACAAGCTTGGCACATATGTATTGATGCAAGGCAAGTAACCGTGTTATAACTTTTGTTTTAGTGACTTATACTTGTGTTAGTGGTGTTTGTAAGTTAGGTGTTTAAGTTATACGAATGAACAGTTCCTATTGCAAGGATGGCTGAAGATGATGTCATATACTAAAATGGCAATGTATTAACACATATTAACCCATCCATCCATCCATCCATCTTCTCCCGCTTATCCGTGGTCGGGTCGCGGGGGTAGCAGTTCCAGCAGAGAGCCCCAAACTTTCTTTTCCCTGGCGACATCAACCAGCTCTGACTGGGGGATCCAAAGGCGCTCCCAGGCCAGCGAAGAGATATAATCCCTCCACCTGGTCCTAGGTCTACCCCTTGGTCTCTTCCCAGCTGGACGTGCCTGGAACACCTCCCTAGGGAGGCGCCCAGGTGGCATCCTAACTAGGTGCCCGAACCACCTCAACTGGCTCCTTTCGACGCGAAGGAGGAGCGGCTCAACTCCGAGTCCCTCCCTGATGACCGAACTTCTCACCTTATCCCTAAGGGAGACACCAGCCACCCTGCGGAGAAAACCCATCTCGGCCGCTTGTATATTAACCCTAGTTTATATATTTGTTTTGTCCAAACCAAATAATGTAAGTCACATGGCATCACAGATAACATCTCCCGAAAGTGTTATCAAAATTAAACCACACCTCTAAATAAGTTTTAAAAAACAGAAAATGTGGGTTTTGAATTGAGTCACAGGACATTTAAATAAAACACCTTGACTTTGAGAAACTTGATGGAAAATGTATAATATTTTTAATATATAAACAAATTATCTGCAAATGCACCTATAAAAAGTAGTTAGCCCCACACGTTGAATGCATGATATGTTATTTTTTCCAAGCCTTTATATATTAATATGTTGTTAGAGTGTGATGTAATCGATCCTCAAATTACAGTGAGTAACACTATGCCTGGGAAATGACTCTGATACGTGCCCATGGTACTAACACACACACACACACACACACACACACACACACACACACACACACACACACACACACACACACACACACACACACACACACACAGAGTTACTTGTGTTGTTTTGGCTGATATTGTTTACATAAGCTGCGGGAAAAATAATCAATTGTCCTGCAATAGGAATGTCAAAAATCGCTAATGGTTTCCTTTGTGATTGTTGCTAACCTAAAGAGAGTTCTGTATCACTTTGTAGGTGTTCTCAGAAAGCATTTTTTCCTTCTATTGTGCACTTAAGTAACATCAAAGCGTCATTGTGCAGAAGGCTTTGCATGGTGATAAGAAATCAGTATGAATTCCTATTATCATTAGGTAGAATATATCATGCTGAAGGGGATGCTTGTGTTCTGTTGATTTGTACTGTAGCACACCAACAATACATAAAAGCTTCACACTGCCCAAACAGTCATGACCATATGGTGCTCTGGTGGAAGCGAAATGCTGACTCGCTGCGTGTTGTTCTTCAGCTGAGGATATCTTGCTCCACAATGGCTCCTGGCCTCAGTGGGATGGGCAGTATTGGCATGGAGAGGCGGAAGCTCCCGGTGATTGCAAGAGGAAGTCTTGTCCTTCTCTCTGTGTGAGCTTTGTTGGCCCTATCTTTAGTAATTCAAAACAAATAAATAAAAGGCGAACACAAGGAGGTGGTTTACAGTGCTGTGGGGATGCTGACACAGGGGCTTGTGGCACAGAAGCATGAGCAACCTTGGAGATGCAACTTGTTCTTGTGATTCTGAGGCAGTGGAAGTGATTAATACTCATCGTTCTTTAGGCCTTTTAGGACTCGGACCTTACTGTTTTTGTTCTTTTCTTTAGGACGTTCAGTATGCTGTCCTATTGGACGTGAACAGGTTGAAGACGACTGAAGAGGCTGCTGCGTCAGTCCCACCTTGAACCCACGGTAGAGGAAGAGATGGGAAACATAGCGACAAAGTTCCGTAAGGCTCTCATCAATGGGGATGAGATGCTGGCCTGCCATCTGTATGAGAGCAACCCGCAGTTCAAGGAGGCTCTGGATCCAAACTCCACATATGGAGAGTCCTACCAGCACAACACTCCACTGCACTATGCTGCCCGGCACGCCATGACACGCCTACTCAGGTAAGGATGTGGTCCAGATACAATTATCAAACAAATACATGGGCAAACTGACATATTGTACACATTTAGATATTTTTGACTGGCTGTGAGAAATGGAAATCCAAGGGTTGATGGATGAAGGGCTAATTTGTTGTGCTCTATATTCTTTGACATAATTCAGAGTATTACAGATATAAAGTGTCCTTTTGAGTACATCACTTATTTTTTAGCACTTTGCTACTGATCAGCTGATCTGATCTATTACGGTTTTGCTGCATCGTAAGAGAACATTTTTCATGTTTTGTCTCCATACGTCTCTGTCCCATCTGTCTCACCCCATAGCCATCTGTTAGCAGCTCTCAGGAATGCAACACGCTGGGATGAAATAGGATGGGGCTCAACAAGCCTCCCATCCAACAAGCTAACAACCTTGCATGAGTTATTTTTGTTTTGTTTCCCCACTAATGGGATGCTTGCTGAATTTTGCATTCCTACCTGACTGTAAAGAAATGACAAGGGGTTTCATGCTGTCAGCAGGTAAATGCACACTGAAGTAGAGCCAAACTATACGACTTGATGGATGGATAAAGGGATATTCTGATTATTCCAGTTTCCACGTCAAGCACAGAAGTGCAGAGACTCTAATGCAAATGTTTTCCTCTTTACTATGCAAAAACGTAGAGGGCCACAGGTAGGCTTCCAAATAGCAATATAGGGTTATAATCGTAAAACATATTAGGTTACTTTGATGGAAGCACAATAGGCTCTTTCACACCGGAGTACTTTTCCCAGGAATAGTTCCGATTAGGGATGCTCCGATCGCCAATTTTGGGGCCGATCGCCGGAATCAGTATCGGCCGATGCCGATCCGATCGAGTGGGCGGGGCCTAAATGGAAGATATAAAGGGGACCTATCATGCAAAATGCACTTTTGTACGTCTTTTATACATGAATATGTGTCCCCGGTGTTCCAGGGAACTCACCAAGTGTCAGAAAACACAACCCTCTCTATTTTCCTCCATACCCACATCTCTAAAAAAGGGGCTGCAACGGATCTGATACAGACTGATCCAGATTCTTCGCTGTGGCTCTTTTTCTCCCTCCCCGAGGCAAGCGTTTGCGCCTCCTGCTTTAAAACAAATGAATAATGACTCTATATAATCAACCGACAGGCTGATCAGGAGCCCGACGCGAAGCGGAGGGATCTAGATCGGCATGAAGGTGTTATTTTCCCCATAATGACCGCGTTGCTGCACATTATCCCGCTTATTACATGGCCCCATTCTCAACAAAGTAACGACATGACTCCCAATATTAATTGAAATGCTTTTATGGATTTAGAAAATGATTTTATTGATTTAAAAAATAGCTGTGTTGATTTAAATTGACATTCATCCGCTAAGAAAAATAGTCTGTTGTTACTGTTTGAACTAACGTAGCAACGGCAGGAACTGCTTCGATAGCGTTTTTGAGGAGCTTTTTGATTACAGATTTGAAAACATCGTTGCTTGCTTTAAAAGTAGCACAATTCATTACCAAAACTTTGGAAAGTAGGGATGCTCCGATCGCCAATTTCGGGGCCGATCGCCGGAATCAGTATCGGCCGATACCGATCGCCGATCCGATCGAGTGGGCGGGGCCTAAATGGAAGATTTAAACATCACTTTAAATCTTCCATTTAAAGTGATGTTTAAACTCAGTTAATGGGGCTCATTCACTGGAGCTTCCACAAACAACAATCAACTTAATTATTACATTCAAATGATGTACATTATTCAAGTTTACATTCACTTTGGATAATAACACGGGAGAAATGAGCGGAAGCGCTCTCTTTTCCTCTCTCCCTCTCTCCCTCCCCCTCTCTCTCTCTCTCCTGACAGCCTGTCAGTATCTCATGCAGCTCACTGATCCAGTAATGACAGTGAAGAATAAATATATTTATAATGACTAGTTTAGCTTGTTCCAGAGGTAGATAAAATAGCTAAGTGTGTTAGGTCTAACTCTTGTGTGTTTCGTCCCGCTTACCGGTCCGGCGGGCGGAGCTGCAGGATTTCTGCTTCACACACGTTGCATACCGCTATTTTACTGTCTTTTTCGGACACCTTAAAATAATGCCAGACCGGTGAAGCCATTTTGGCGAGCTTGTTTTGCCGCACACAGAGAAAAGTGTCATGTATTTTACGTCATGCGATCGGCTCTCGCGATCGGCATGTTTAGAGAGCACCGATCGATCTGTAGAGAGTGAGTATCGGCCGATCTCGATCGGTGACCGATCGATCGGAGCATCCCTATTGGAAAGTATCTAGATATCTCTGCCCTAATGCCAAAGTAACTGCCAACTTCCCGCACCTGCAGAGGGGCGTGGTCAGCTGCAGCTCACAGAATCAGCCCTCTGCAAAAACAGGGCTGGAAAGAGCAAATAGAGCGAAATTAGGCATGGCTAACATGCAAGATCTGTTTGGTATTTTGAAGAAAAAAAAAAAATGTATATACTTTATATAGGTATGGCCCTACAATATATGTTTCAAATATAGCATGATAGGTCCACTTTAAACATCACTTTAAATCTTCCATTTAAAGTGATGTTTAAACTCAGTTAATGGGGCTCATTCACTGGAGCTTCCACAAACAACAATCAACTAAATTATTACATTCAAATGATGTACATTATTCAAGTTTACATTCACTTTGGATAATAACATGGGAGAAATGAGCGGAAGCGCTCTCTTTTCCTCTCTCCCTCTCTCCCTCCCCCTCTCTCTCTCTCTCCTGACAGCCTGTCAGTATCTCATGCAGCTCACTGATCCAGTAATGACAGTGAAGAATAAATATATTTATAATGACTAGTTTAGCTTGTTCCAGAGGTAGATAAAATAGCTAAGTGTGTTAGGTCTAACTCTTGTGTGTTTCGTCCCGCTTACCTGTCCGGCGGGCGGAGCTGCAGGATTTCTGCTTCACACACGTTGCATACCGCTATTTTACTGTCTTTTTCGGACACCTTAAAATAATGCCAGACCGGTGAAGCCATTTTGGCGAGCTTGTTTTGCCACGCACAGAGAAAAGTGTCATGTATTTTACGTCATGCGATCGGCTCTCGCGATCGGCATGTTTAGAGAGCACCGATCGATCGGTGGAGAGTAAGTATCGGCCGATCTTGATCGGTGACAGATCGATCGGAGCATCTCTAGTTCCGATAGTTCCTGGGATTTTGCGTTCATACCAAAAAGATCTGGAACTAGAACTTTTTTTGCGAACCTTTTCACCCCTTTTTAGTCCCTGCTAGAGAGCAGCGACTTTCCTGGGGAGAAAAAGGTTCTAATTTCTATTGGCTGGGCGAATTGCAAACCACGCCCCGCAAAACTCTGAAAAGTTCTTGTGAAGCCACCATTTTATTTTGCTCGCATTATTAGCATTAGCATTAGCATTAGCCCAGCGCACCAACGCAGAGAGACTAATTTATGGCAACACAAAAGAAAACTTGGGAGCGGTAGAGATGAGGAGGTGTCGGCGTTCTGGCGATTTACTCGGAAGGCTTCAGTAGAAGCTGCTGGGAGTCCCAGCAGCTTCTACTGAAGCCAGTCCCCAACTCCGGGGACTTCCGGCCGGGGACTTTGGGTGGCAGTATACGCCGTGAAGTTGTTTGCGGCCTGCCAGTAAACCCAAAGCAGAAGAAGTGACGTCAGCGGCTCCCTCAGGGACTTATTCCGGTGTGAACGCGATTTACTAAATAGTTCCAGGAAATAAAGGTTCCGGGAACTATTCCTGGGAAAAGCACTTGGTGTGAAAGCGCCTATTAATAATAATAAAATGAGAACCATTATGAGTTGGTTTGCCCCAGATATTAGCAGGCAAAGCCATTTCTGGGCCAATAAGCAAAACTTTGAATCAACTTTTATTCCTGTCTGTCTTTTTCTTTAAAGGTCTTTTCTTGTGGGCAAAGATGGGAATCCTAACAAGCGCAACGTGCACAATGAGACCTCTCTGCACCTTCTTTGCATGGGGCCCCAGATCCTGACCTCAGAGGGGGCGCTGCAGCCCCGGATCTCACGGCCATACGAAGACCGACATCGTCGGGCTGAAGCTCTACAAATCATCTTGTCATGGACCGGAGCAAAGCTGGACCATGGAGAATACGAGAGGGCTGACGTCAATGCCACGGACAACAAGAAGTACACCTGCCTGCACTACGCTGCTGCCTCAGGCATGAAGATTTGTGTGGAGGTGAGGTCTCAAAGTCCTGTGGGCATTTGTCAGTTTGGGCTAATGTTAAATATTCTCAAGTATGACATTTAATGTATAGGTTGATGATTCCATAGATAGAAACTAAAGAGTCACATAGACAGTAAACCAATTGAGTGGGGAGCGAGTAACCATGATTTAACACACATTATTCATTGTCTGCCCTTTTGTTCTCTGAATATTTGCTGATGTGTGTCATTTCGTTCAGGTCCATTGCGTAACGTTTGATCAACGGCTGCTTTGTGAGTTTGAGAAGATGTCATGCAACACTGAACATCTTTATTAATCCCTGGGGCAAGATGCATCTCGTAAAAAAGTCACATGAATAAGGCCATCAGTGTGTTTAGCTGAATATCTACCTCTGAAAGAAAACTTGTTTAGCTCAAAGCTAAATCTGGCACTGTTACACTTGACACATTTTTATGTTTTAAGTGTTCACCACTGTGCATTGTCCCTGCCAAATAAACGATTAAATGAAATGAAAACAACTTTGTTTGGCATATAAAATAAAATAAATAAATACATTTAATTTATATAGCGCTTCTCATCTACCAAGACAAATCTCGAAGTGCTTATATATAAAACAAAATGCCATTTGCAGCATGTGAAAAAAGAAAGGCAGAATTAAAAATGGCATGGTGTACTAGTTTAATACAAAGAGAGAAACCCATATATTTAAAATCAAGCAAAAATTATTCAGAAGGAATTGAACAAATATTTAGAACATTTAAAATGACATATTCATACTAACTTGACAGAACAAGTCATTCAATTTTCCCAAAGTGACTCAGCCTTTGCTATTGGGGGAAAAACGCACTTATTTAGAGTGCAATCCACAGATGGGCCCTGGAACTGAAAATGTGTTAGTAATGAGCAAAGATTAGAGGATAGATCAGAATAATTTGGATTAGCATTTCTCCCATAATTGTGTAGCCTTTTCTTCAACACAGAATAACTGGTACTCCTTTTTGTCCTTATGGTGTTTCAAACTTTTAGCCCCATTTTCAAAGCCAAATATTCCTCTTGTTTCTACTTGCTCAGTTCCTGGTGCAGAGAGAAGCGGATCTGTTTGCAGAGAACGAAGAGCACGAGACTCCATGTGACTGTGCAGAGAAGCAGCACCACAAGGAGCTGGCCCTCTGCCTGGAGTCGCAGATGGTCTTCTCTCTGGCCCCCGAGGCCGAGAGTATAGAGGCAGAGTACTCAGCCCTTGACCGAAGAGAGGTACAGATTAACACACCAAGAGGCACCGTACATTTTATTCAGTCATAGAAAGAGCTGCAACATAGATTATGTTCATTATTTATCAATCTACCTAATATTTCATAGATTCATCAAAATGGTCTATTAATTATCAGAAAAGAGAAAAACATGTTTATCTCAGTGTTCCAAGGTTAATGTCTTTTAAATTGGAAATGTTATGCTAATTCTTACACGTTCATACTTGTATTTCGGGGTCACACTTTTTAATGTCTTGTTTTACAGTCCAAAACCCAAATATTTTCAGTTCACAATTTCTCTGTCGATTAACAACATTTTGGCTGTAGTCCAGTGTTACATTCTACACTTGCAGATGCTTTGATCACACACACACACACACACACACACACACACACACACACACACACACACACACACACACACACACACACACACACACACACACACACACACACACACACACACACACACACACACACACACACACACACACACACACACACACACACACACACACACACACACACACACAGTCTGCCATTAGGCCTGGCTCAGTCATGCATCATTAATTGTCTATATCTGTTTTGCTTTTATTTATTGTATTCTCTCCCTCCCTTTTCAACAAATACAACTATCTACTCCCACCCTCATTCCACCCCCCCGTTCTCCGTAATCACACCCTCTGTTGCTCCCTCTGCTCTGTCATTACTTTTCTCTGCTAACCTGCATCCTTACCATCCTGAATTGCATCCTTTCCTCTCTTCTTCCTTTTTATTCCCCTCCTGGTCTCTGTCCCTTTCCCTCACTAGCTGTACGAGGGTCTGCGGCCTCAGGACATGAGGAGGCTGAAGGACATGCTGATAGTGGAGACAGCCGACATGCTGCAGGCCCCTCTCTTCACTGCAGAGGCTCTGCTACGTGCCCATGGTACTATCACACACACACACACACACACACACACACACACACACACACACACACACACACACACACACACACACACACATACATTAACATATGATAGCCTATTGGTCAAAATAAAAGATACTGAAAATCACAATTCAAGTCGATACACTTTTAAACAAGCACATGCTTTCAAAAACTGTTTCTTTATTGTGTACCTAATTGTCCCACGTAGTTTACCCTCACTAAGCAAACCATATTTCACTGTTTATGAAAAACTCTGTTGGTAAATGTGTATATAGTTATATTGTTTCAAGATTAGAGAAGCCGTATATCGTATAAACTTCATGCTACACTCCAGTGGTTTCCACGCAGTGAAAAGGGCAAGATGTTAACAGCCTTTGTTATCTCAGAGAATTTCATTTGTATGCTCTAAATGCTATTTTAGTGGGCTTGTCCTCCGTACCAAATAAGTGAGGAAAAACACTGGTACATTCGAAAAATAGGGTACTTACACATTTCACATTTACTATAAAGAACATTTTCCACATCAGGCTGATTCATGTAATAGCATAAATATATTTTCAATGCTTGTATTCATTTGAAATGAGCTTTGCACAACTCTGGGATGAGTTCTAGCTTCCACATTTCCATTGTGCAGTAGAATTCTGCTCGCTTGAGCTACATCCTATATTACTGCAAGTATATGTACTAGTAAGCATATCCTGTTAACTTATATTTCTGTACATCACAAATAAGTTACAGCATGCTGACATTGAGGTTGTAATAATGTATATTGATGGTTTGGCTTCTTGCGCACAGTTTGTCTTTCCAGTGTAGATGTAATGCCAGGAGGAATATAAAGTATGAGATTAGAGTCTAAGGTGACACAGAGTGTAACATTTGAGTTGCCTTATTAAATCTATTGGAGTGTGAAGTAAGGGTAGCTTAAGGTAAAAGACAAGTTCAATATTTGTAACATACCCACACAGGAAATACAGTATATTATTCTGTCAATAAGGAGTCATTAAATGGAAGACACATGCTTCCAAGAGGCATGTGTTACTAATGCAGTGAAAGTGTTTTAATCGAAGTAAAGCTAATTTATTTCACTTCATCCACAAAGACATTTTTTCTGATGTTCTTGTAATTTAGGTTGGCCAAGTACTGAGTAAAAGTGTCACAGTTGTGACATGTTATGCAGCCTTAAGCAACCAATTCTCCAACTAGCTTCACTTAACCTAGCGAAGATAATGTGCATGAAGCGCTTCAAATGCTTCAAACAAAATGACTTGACTTGCCTTTGAAAAGCATCTCCCCACTTCAGTTCACTTGGCTTAGATTATGTTAGTGGGGAACTCAAAAAAATGAGTCACAGTTTGTGGTTGATTTTCAGTCTTTAAACGCCCCGTTGTTTAATTCAGTCGGCTCAGTGGCTGGCTCTTGAGCTCAGTGTGCTACATATTAGACATACTTTTGGAAGCTCAGAAGGGAGAGTAAACCCAGATTATTGCTATATTTATTCACCTCTATCGTGGGAATACTCTCTGTATGTTTAACAGGGATTGAACAGGCTTATTGGTAATCTTCAGGGAAAGAGGTTTTGAATGTATTTATAAGATTATTTTCTTGTTGAAACTTAAGTGTCCAAACTTTTAAATGTACATGTTGGTCTTTTTCAGTTTTATTATCTAATTTCTTGCTATTTCCTGCTTAGCTGCCCGCCTGTCTATGCTTCTGACAATTTGTATTTTCCAGCTAATATTCTATATTGAAGACTAAATATGAAACATTTTCATATCATCAGACTACTTTGAAAGTCCTAAAGCTGGAAGATAGAGACAGATCAATGATGAGTTTTAATTGAATGGAAACGGGGGAAATTGTGGGAATATTCATTTGCTATTTAGAGTCTGAGGAATTTGATTGGTGGTGGGACGTGTCTGGAGGCTGGTCATTTTCTGATTGTACAGTTCATAGGTTTATGTTCCTTATTTTTGGGCATTTCAGCATAGAGAATGTTGTCTCGGGCACAGTCCTCACCTCATTCAATATTAATACTGGAGAGCTCTCCTACCTGCTCCTGTGCTGAGATCGAACGGCTATTCTAAAACAGGAAACCAGATGGCAGCAGGTCCATGCGATCAGCAGTTGGTAGTGCAGCCACTTGAGTGAGATTTGTGTGGGCTTTAGTGGATTCAGCTGTGTGCTGCTTACCAATTCTTACAAACAAAACACATTTGTATGTGAATACATTTTGTATTGGTGAAAAACAATTGCTGAGAGAAAGTCTTATTTATCAGGATAAATGGAATGTGGTCATGTGATCTCTATTCAGTTTGTCCATGCCTTTTATTCATGAAGATTAGTTGAATATGATCACAAAATAAAGGCTGCTTTTGTTTGTCATGTCCAGTGATTCTAGATTAGAGCAGTGTTGTGTAACTGAGCAGGGCCCGTTTGCTTATCACATGGTGTTAACAAGTCTGTATTGTCATTCAAATAATATGTTGATGAGCTTTGTTTTTAAAAGCACAACTCAACTGGTCTTTTAAACTTAATGACCCTGGAATCTTTATACAAGCACTTGCCTTTTATGACATTTATATAGTAGTTCCACTTTTCTGCCCTCTCAGCTTAATTTTCTTTTGATGGTCATCCAAAGCCTTTTATGCTTCATGTCACACGCTCATAACAAAGCTTTTAGATTTTTCAAATCAAATCAAGTTTTATTTATATAGCACATTTATAAACGATTTTTGGTCGAGCCAAAGTGCTGTACACAAAATAAAAATAGCCTACAGTAGAGACACTTTACAGCAAATACAACAGCACAGATTGTTCAGAATATCAGTATGAGAAAAACGACACCCTCTATCCTTAGACCCTCACATCGTACAAGGAAAAACTTCCGGAGAAAACCTACAGTTTAAAGGGAAAAAATGGGAGAAACCTCAGGGAGAGCAACAGAGGAGGGATCCCTCTCCCAGGACGGACAGACGTGCAATAGATGCCGTGTGTAAATCGAAGAGATAATACATTTTACAGCATATAGACCGAATGTTAGGAAATGCATGTGTCTGTAATAAGAAGATGAATCCACGAGGATGTCAGCTACAATCATGTGGAAGCCATCAGGGAAGCAGCATGACGAGACCCAAGGCAGGACCGCAGAGACAGGTTCAGCCACGACCCGAAGTCCACGCCTTAATCCAGAACTCAGGATACTTCACTGACTTGCATTCTTTTTCTCTGTTTGGTTTTATGCATTTCCCTCTCTTTAAGTTTCTTTAAATTTTTGCTTCAGATTGGGACAGAGAGAAGCTCTTAGAGGCCTGGATGAGCAATGCTGAGGAATGCTGTCAGCGCTCAGGTGTCCAGATGCCCCACCCCCCCCCCAGTGGTTACAACGCATGGGACACCTTGCCCTCGCCCCGGACGCCCCGCAACACCCGCTCCTCCTCCACCTCCCCCGACCAGATCAGCCTCATGCCTGCAGATCTGGAGTCTTCTCTGGTGAGGTTCCCTTTCAACAATGTTCAATAAAACATCAAAAATAATCAGAATCAGGGTTTTGTGACAGTTGCTCCATTTTATAATGAAATTAAATACAAAATGAATAAAAATACATCATTAAAATAATGATACAAACATAAGAACTTAAAGTAAGAATGTGCAATAAAAAAAAAAATTAAGATATTATATGAACACAAGAAGTAAAAGTAAAATGCCCAATTAAAAAAATATATAGAATAAGAATAATTATATAAATAAAGGAAGTTAAAGTATAAACTTGCACATTGTACTACAATATATAAGATGCATATTACAATATATACAGTGGTATATTAGTATTAATCTATTATGGCTGAATTGCACACTTAAAATGAGAAAGAAAACGAGGCTGGTGCTGGGCCTCACCATTCATTCTGAACTGGTGGGAGTCCAACTCTCACGAATAATAATTTACACAGTCGCCTCCAAGGGCTTTCTTTTGTTTCCTAAACTATAGGAAGAAAAGTTAAAATGGCAGATATAGAAGATGAGAACCTCATTTTAGTTAAAGTTGGGGTAGGTAATTCACTTCAGATACACTTTTTGTTATATTCCATGGAATGCTCTTAACATCCCGATAGCAATGAATATCTGAAGTGCTTTGACAATAAATACAATAAAAAATGTCATCTGTGGAAGCCGTAGTACTGTAAAACCAATCATCTGAGCCGGCCCGGCTAAAATAACTGGATGGCCTACCTGCCTGTCAGCCTTCCATCTGTGCACAAACTTATCTCGTGCCCTCATTGGTCATGTGCGCGTTCGTGTGTGTTGGAGGAGGGGCTCTGAACAGTCTCATAATACACACATGCACACAGAAGGATTCACACTTGTGTTTTTCAATGCACACACAAACGTGTTCCGTTTCATATAAATGTAAATAAAATCCAAATACAAAAAGTTTTACATATGTATTTTTGATCCTCACATATTTGTTTTCCGTTTAAAACCTCTGCACCTGCAAACACAAACCGCTTTCTGTGCACGGATCGCTGTGCATTCGTGTGTGGGTTTTTTGAGACTCCCCTGACGGTCAGCCGATTCGTACTTGTAATTGTTTCTATCTATAGCCAATCAGATGTCTCCTCAATTCTAAGCCAATCACATGAGCGCGCCCCCACGAGGGTAGATTTGTATATATATTATGTATTAGAATACAGCTGCTTTATTTATGTCTGTATGAAGTTGTTGTGAGTGTGGAGGGAGCAGCTACAGGTTAGCTTAGCCTAATCGATCAGTGCACTACGAAGCCAGTGCCAGACAGTGAACTGTCAACGGGGGGAGACCGCCGGTCATTATCGGCCGATATTCACTCTTAATAGTTTGATCGGTGCTGCTCTCTATAAAGGCCGATCAGGAGAGCTGGGTCTGATCGATATGGACATAAACGCGAGGGAAGTATAACCGGACGAGAGAGAGATCAGATCAGCTGCTGAGTCTGACGGAGACACGCAGCTCTGCATGATCACCTGATGCTCCGCTCTCTGTTTAGCGAGCTGACCGGACTGCGCAAAATGCGTATATGAAGTGTCATTAACGCAATAAATCATACCCTCGTGGGGGCGAGCTCATGTGATTGGCTTAGAATGAAGGAGACATCTGATTGGCTATAGATAGAAAATTGTTTTGTGTTTGCAGGTTCAGAGGTTTTAAACGGAAAACAAATATGTGAGGATCAAAAATACATATGTAAAACTTTTTTCTATATTTTATTTACATGTATATGAAACGGAACACATTTGTGTGTGCATTGAAAAACACAAGTGTGGATCCGGAAATACAAGTGTGAATCCTTCTGTGTGCATGTGTGTATTATGAGACTGTTCTGAGCCCATAGAGGAGGGGCTCTGTAAGGAAGTGTGAAGGAAGGGGCAGATTTATTTCGGCTGCATACTTTCAAATTCTAGCGCACTCGAGCTGGTTTCTCCATTCTTAACTACCCTACATTTAAGGCTTTACTGTGTCGACCCACGAAGAGCCATTAGATGAAATAGACTAGAATCAGAGTCGCCTGGGGAGCAGCTTGTTTCCCTGACCAAGAAGTTCCTCCAGCAGCGAGGACGAAGCTACTGTGTAAGGGCATGGAGAAGAAGTAGCTGGCGGTGTATCCAGGAGAACAGTGTTTTTTAAATTGAATCCTTACGGGGATACAGATTTTCCTGAAGTGTCTTTGCTGATATCTTTTAATTTGCACCGCCACACCTGTCTTTCTGCATAATGTTGCATTATTTCCCAGCACTATATTGCTAGCGATCATTAGTATTCATGCCGTTAGTCTTCCCCGCCATCATAAACACAATCAGCACTTCTCTACTCCTAGGAGAACGAAGGGGTCCGTTAATTATGGTGTTAGCTCTAAACAAGAGAGAATATTAAAATACTTTCTAAATAAGTTATGAGTGTACACAGTTTTACCGTCTATAGGCCAATGAGAGGGACAACAGAAGAGGGTAGAAGGAATGTTCCAAAGCAAACTCCTCCTTTTGTGTTAAACATTAAATAATAAGTAATCAAACTTTAGAACGCTCCAGATGTTGTGTGGGAGTCTAACGCTGTCCGCTAATTGTTTCCACTTTACATCTAACATAAAAAGGTATCAAGTACTCTCTAAAAAGTTAAACTTAACAACCAAAAAGATAAAACCCACATTTTGTGAGCTAGCAATAACTACAGCTAAGTCATAGACATGCAAGTGTGCTGTCAAACCCTCATATTTCCCACAGCTGTGCGTGCAGAATCTGTATGTCTTCAGGATATTATTGAGCCTTATTCCCCCACTGCTGCACCCCCCCTGTTTAATTCTCCTCCCATTAGGCTGACCTTGTCTGGGGGTTCCTGATCATTATCAGACACGCTTGACATTTCCCTCAGCAGTCTCCTTTGTGAACAGTTGTCAGGATGGAAATGATGTCAGGTAATGTGAGATGTCCTTTTGGGAGACGTTGTTTTGTCTCGTTGGATCACCACTAAAGAAGACTGCAGTGAAGACATCAAATGGGTTTGATAACAACCAGGCTTTCCCAGAAGAGGTTGGAAGCATAGAAAGTGTATATACTCTGCACCATTCAGACAGATACAACATTAATAAAACATTAACATTTAAAACGTGATCAAAAAGAAATGGCTGGAACAAACAAATAAATAGATACAAATATATTGCGTTTAAAAGACAATGAAAGCGATCATATAAATACTTAAAGATTAAAGAGAAGTTATCTATCTAATTCATTGGAAAGCCGGAGTGATCAATAGTGTTTTCAAGCCCTGAATTCAATGAGTGAAGTTGGGGGTACTTTCCCTCTAATTCAGTGATTCTCAAAGCGTGGTGCAGGGACCCCCTGGGGTCCGTGGCACTCTACCAGGGGGTCACATTCTACATTATAAATTATTTATTGAGAAACCAGACTCAGTGTTTTGTTTAGCCTATGTAGCACTAAAAGTGAAACACATAACGTTACACTTCTTTTTACATATATATGTGTGTGTGTGTGTGTGTGTGTGTGTTCTCTTAATTGCATTTCAAAATAGCCCTTTTCTATTGATTTGCCTTTGATATTTTATAAAGGCACCAGCAGCTATTTCAAATGAATTATACATTTTTAATACATGTATATTATCTTTCTAATATATTTCTCTCGTGTTCTTCTTTCACATTACTAGTACTATAAAAGTGTAAAAATGGCCTACATCAAATTACTCTAAGAACCAGTATATTATCATTATCTCATCTCATTATATTATATTATTATTATTATTATCTTGTAAAGGCTCCTCGGCTAAAAAACGATAGATATACTCAAATGGGTGCTTTGCCTAAAGATATGTGCTGCGATATATATATATAATGTGTATATATATATATATATATATATATATATAATGGAAAGCGGATCCTTTCAATAAATCCATTGTGTTTTCATGCCATTGGTGACCAGGGACTTTCAAGCTTTAGAAATGGCATTGCTACCTGTGGGGGGGAATCAGACAGTCTCTGAAAAGTTTGGTGTTAGAGGCCATAATCCTTTTGGATGAAAGATGATTACTGCTTCTTTTTGTGTGGCTCTATGCCTCAAACAGCAATGCCAATGGAGCGGGTCCACTCGCGGGCCCGTTTAAAGGTTACAGTTGATTATATCACATTCTGCTCTTTCCCAAATCAATACTTACATTGTCGAAGTACACTGGCTCCTCTATGTCTTTTGCTAAGGTCAGTCTTTCACTGTAACAAGGCCCGAGTGTGACTGCCCCATTTGTTACTGTTGATGTGAGAAACATATCTGATCACACAGCAGTAACCTGTGAGCCACATGCTAATGAGAGGTCATAGGACATAGTTTTCCTTCTCTAGTCATCCCACCATTTAGCATTACAATTAGGCCACCCACTGCCACATTTTGAGAAGAGCCTAGTCAGCCTATTCTCAAAGGCTGTTTTCATCTTCCTTCAAAGTGTATTGTAATAATATATGAATTGTACTGAAATTGTACTTAATCATGTGTTATAGCATACTTTATTTATATAGACCGACTTGAACCTATTTGTACTGTGGCTTTATGACAGATTGTATTTATTTTCTTTTGCGTTACAGTGTGGTATTTGCTTGTCTTCCATTACCGTCTTCGAGGAACCTGTTGACATGTCCTGCGGCCACGAGTTCTGCAGAGCATGCTGGGAAGGGTAGGTTATAATATATTTTTGTCCTGTTTGCCAATCTGCTCAGGGTTGAACTATTTTCCTTATCCTTTACCTACATCAGCATGTGTTTGTCTTCATCTTATTGCAATGTCTAATTCCTCAGGTTTCTAAATCTAAAGATCCAAGAGGGTGAAGCCCACAACATCTTCTGCCCGGCCTTCGACTGCTACCAGCTAGTGCCTGTGGAAGTCATTGAGAGTGTGGTTTCCAGGGAGATGGACAAGCGCTACCTCCAGTTTGACATCAAGGTGACAAGATAACAAAACAGACAGAGATTTATTTTAACTATAAACCTTCTACACATATTATTTAAATGATATTGTCACCTTCAGAGATAAACGCATACTTCTTTGCAGTTCAATTTAAAAGTGTATGACACTGAATACAGACGCCAGTTGACTGACATGGTAGGTCAAACATTGATGTGAGTAGACAGATATTCTTGGACTTGAAAGGAAAGCGCTAAACATGTTTAATTCATGATCTTCTCAGATTTGAAAGCCTTTAGAAATTAAATTAACATCCAGCAGCACATTATTGTTTCACTGATGTCCTCCAGCAGAAACGTTCAAACCTAATAGAGAAAAGAAAAAGTGTAATAGAGTGGCCCTCTATAAAATACCTTTCTTTGATTCATCTCTTGACAGGCGTTTGTGGAGAACAATCCGGCAATCCGCTGGTGTCCCGAGGCAGGGTGTGAAAGGGCGGTGAGGCTGAGCACCCAGGGCCCCGGGACCTCCAACTCAGACCCTCTGAGCTTTCCCCTCCTGAGGGCCCCGGCTGTGGATTGTGGCAAAGGCCATCTCTTCTGCTGGTCAGTTATAAGTACCACACCCTATAAGAAGATGTTAACATTTATGTAGTCTGTGTATATTATTGTTTACATCTGGACTTCCCTTCGGATTCTAACACGGATGGATATTATTAAAAACAAAACAAGGTTAAAACAAATAACATGTTTTCATCAATTAGAAGTCAGTTAAGAAGGGTTTTTGTCTTTATTTTTGTATTTGTATGTGTAATTAAACAATGAGTCTTAAAATGACAAATTGGAAACATGTTTAGAAGTTCTGTGAAATAGAGAAAAAGGTTGAAATCATTAAGAGTCTTCTGAGAGTTTGGATGTCAGGAGAAACCCAGTAACTAGGAAAGATTGGCCATTTTCAGGAGGCCCAAGGTCTCTGCTGGGAACAATCTCTCCAAAAAAACAGCAGTGATGGAGGTGCTAGATGGAAGCCCCTGCTGAGCGAGGCTGTATGACAGCCCCCCTGGAGTTGCCAAACAGCAGTTTAAGAAGCTCAGAGTATGGGGGAAAGGATTTCTTGGTAGAAAAACCAGGTACCTCTCAAAATCTGGATAATACCAGTCTTCCAATCTGCTAGGCTAGGCCAAAATCCTCCCAACTTAAGCTTGCATTAACATAGAGACAAGAAACCTTGATAACACTTATCTTTTGTTTAATATGTTATTATTTTGCCATCAGAAATCCTTGTCCCTCAGCAGGGGAATTTAAATTGCTACAGCAAAGAGAACAGTGTAGTAAAAGACACAATAAAAGAGTAGACTGTCATATTAAATAAAAAGGCAAGCACATGTTAAAATAAATAGAATCAAACCAGTGCACTTATACACGTATGTTCTTATATATTCTAAGTCTTGCAAAACAAAGTTTTGAAAATGTGATTGCCTTCCGAGCTCCCCCACGCTAACTAATACTACCCACCTCACTGCACCTCACCTCACTTTATGGCTCCTAAAGGCAGCCGTCAGGTTCACTTGTCAGGTTCATTGAGGAGTGCAGTTGACATGACATTTGGAAATGGAAACTGGATGTAACACAGGTCTGACTTTAATAGTTCCCTTGACATGAGGAAGGCATTTGGTTGAAAGGCATATAGGGTCAATTGATGGGGTTTGACGGTTTTGACTTTTTTTATTTATACAGTCCAGGGACAGAATGTGAACTTTGGGTTATTAAAACGGTCTGCATCCCCTTAATCTGTGTGTGTTTATTCCAGGGAGTGCCAAGGTGAGGCCCATGAGCCCTGTGACTGTGAGACATGGAAGCTGTGGCAGCAGAAAGTCAGTGAGATGAGACCTGTGGAATGTGAGTATTTACATCAATTCACTTAGTTTAAGACATGGAACTCAGCATTTTGCCTTTAAATCTCAAACTTTTTGTTGTTTTAACATAGATAATGTCTTTAATTGCGTTTCGAGCTCCTCCACCCTCATATCCTGACCTCCACCCTAAGTAATACTAAAAATAATCCTTTATTTTAGTCAGTTATAAAAGTGGACGCGTGTCAAGCTACCTGGCTTTAATTTGTCGTAACAAAGTAGTTTAGACTCTAACCCAGGCTCCCTTTAGTGATTGATTTGGAGCTACATTAACTGGAAATGAGCCACAGTAATTACAAACAGTTTAGCACAAAGCCAATTAAAATCCACCATGTTGATGATGAATTATTAATTAAAATATAAACCCTCTCAATGACAGAACTCAATGTTTGGAATCAGTAAATTGCACTGTGGGCAATCTAATAGATGATTTAAGATGGCCCGAGTCACTCCGAAGTGCAACTTCTTTGTGACAGTTGAAAGATAAAAAGCAATTATTTTGCTTTGGAACCGTCTTCCCCTTCGATTTCCCTAGCCTTATCCTGGCATTTCAAACGGCCCATCAGAGGGGCTTTGATAATAGCCAATTATTCAGTTTGAGCGTGTGTGTCGGGAGGGGGTGGGTTGGTACATGAGCATCCTGGGAGGTGTTAGCAAAATAAATAAGCAATACACATTAGTCAGGCAGCACAATTTCCCACTCAGTGCAGTGGTCTGTGTTGATTCTGTGCTAATAGTCATTCTGTCTCATTATGCCTTTATTTGTTCTGTTGCCTCCCCCTCCTCCTGTTGAAGTGGCCGGTGTGAGCGATGCCTACGAAGATGCAGCCAACTGTTTGTGGTTGCGCTCCAACTCAAAACCCTGCGCCAACTGCAAGTCCCCGATACAGAAAAACGAGGGGTGCAACCACATGCAGTGTGCCAAGGTAAGCGGGCCAGCGAGGAGTCGCATACCTGTCTCACTGAGGCAGGTTGATGTGAGCCAGGCTATTCTGGCCAGAGTGAGTTCACTAGACTGTTTTCTGATTGGGAAAACTTCCTCAATACAAACCAATCACAAGTGTAACACGGTATCGAACACAACTGCCATTTAAAAAAAATCATATCTAGCTTAGAGCTTTGTAGCAAACATTTCAGCATATAGGGGTCTCTATTTGGGCTTTAGACCTTTACTCTCATTTATGCTATTAAGTGTGTACACTATGCATGCATTCATACACATTTATTTAGTTGTGATTACCTGTTCCCTCAGACTAGATGTCCTAAAAGTGGGAAGCTGAGTGACTGAGAAATGCAAGTTGGACATACTTCTTGTCAGGAGAAAACGAAGAGAGACTTTGATTGATAATTGATCATTTTCAGTATGCTTTTTTAAATCATGTGGCAACATCATTTTCTAACACGAAAAGGCTAACTAAATCTTTCTGGAGGGCCGTTTTTTTGTGATCATTCACCCTATTTAACTTCCAAACATCTCACAACACCATTTTTTCTCAGTTACTTTTAGGCAATTGTTCATCGCTCATTACCCAAAAATTGGCTTTGTGTTATTTATTTCAACATTAGTCTTTCGGTGATATTTTACACCTTGGTCTCATCTGATAAGTCTGATTTAAAAAGTTGAGTATGAACAGTTGTGGTTTTAAACTAGCTGATAACATTCTTCTTAAGAAGTCAGGATAGATTTTGTTCTGTGAAGGTTATCATCGCATGCCGAAAGGTGCAAATGAGTAATCACAGTCAAGCTGCTATAAGCCAAGTTTTTCTATCATTATGAAAGATTATTTTACAAATGGGGGCTTATGAAACTGTCATGCTAACAAATAATCCATCCTGAGAAGTCCTTGAGTTATCATGCACAGCCTGTCTTACTAAGATGGACAAGAGAGAATGATACGCAGGTGATTGAAGGGAACAGAGGCACTCAGTCAGTCAGTGTGAGACAGATAATCACACAGTCATGTTTCCTGACTGAAGCTCTGTCACTAGCCCTGTCGCTGGAGGGCAGGCCATGTTAGCAGCACAGTGCAGTCATACAGCCGCACTCCTTTTGTCACGGTGACAGCGCTCTCCTGTCTCCATCCTGCTTTAAGAGGCTGACTAGAGATGGAGATTAGTTTGGGAGGAATGGAGCAGCTTTCACAAGCGAAGAGGCCACTAAGGGCTCAGCCCCTTGACCCGTTATTACCTGGCTAGAAATGGCTTTACCCCAGTTGCTTGGAAACACAGGACTCAGTGTTGCCAAGGAACATTTCTTTGTCCCTTCACAGCCATTTCCTTCCCATCTGGCTTTCTTTTTTTATCTTAAATCTCACCAATTCATACGCCGTCTTTTCTGTCCTCTCACCTTGTTACTGAGTATTGATTTTTCTGGAGTGTCATGCAAGCGTGGGGTTTCCAGGACAACAGAGGTCTCAGCCTTTAGGGTTTCGTGTTGCTCCGGCTGACTTGAGGCGAGAGAAATCGCTTAAACCCAAATAGGATGCGGATTGGAGTGGCTGTAGTGTTTTGTTGTTCTACTATACCCAGTGGGAGCTGGTGATCTAAAATGAGTGCCTTCCAGTGGAAGCAAGCTGCGAGGAATTATCGCTCGCTTCAAGACAAATGCCCTGTGATTCCTATTAAACTCTGCCATTTGTAAAAGGGCAGAAGATTAAGATTGAAAGTATACAGAGAGAAGTAGATATTGACTCTTAAAAATCAGACTTTTAAAATATCCTTCACCTAATTATTTTAATTTTGAGAGCAGTACAAATTATTTAGATTTCAATAAGCCTTGTTAATGCCAACAAAAAAATCCAGCGTTCATATTTAATCATATTTGGAGGAGTCGCAGCACATCATCTGGGTTGTTTTCTGTCATGACAATTCATGAAATATAAATCACCCCGGTGTAGCCGGACTAGCTTTAGCATTTGGTTAACCTTTTTCTGTTGTGACAGCTGAGCAGAGCATATTCAATTTTAATATTTGTTTCTCCTCTCCCTTCAGTGTAAGTATGACTTCTGCTGGATCTGTCTGGAGGAGTGGAAAAAGCACAGCTCCTCGACCGGAGGATACTATCGCTGCACCCGCTACGAAGTCATCCAGCAGGTGGAGGAGCAGTCCAAAGAGATGACTGAAGAGGTACACACACACACACACACACACACACACACACACACACACACACACACACACACACACACACACACACACACACACACACACACACACACACACACACACAAACGGCAGAGAAAACAGCACCACAAAATGGATTAAGTGCAAACTACCGTAACTCGCACACAATCCTGAGTTTATCTTTAGAATATGAATATTTATGTCAGTGAAAACCCGTTGTCTGTAAGTATTGATTTCCAGGGATTGGACACAATTCACATTTACACCTTGGCTATAATTTATTGACACACCATGTAATTGCAATATAGAAAATATAAAAGACTGTTTTACAGCGCATCGTAGCAAAAGGAAAAAAAATCGTTCCAAATGATAAATGTAATATCTGAACTATTTTAAAGAACCTTTCATCATTTGCTGCTCTAAAGCTTAAGACAAATCCCTTTATCAGTGACATTCCCCTTAAAGCAATTCATTAAGTTTAGACACATGAACAAAGAAATCACAGAATATGTTTGACACGTTAAGACAATTTGTTCAACCATCTATGATATGATGTTTTAGGGTGTACCACTATTCAATGACAGAAAGGATACATGATGTAACAGTCGGCACACAATTGAACATGATGATTTGCATTTCTGGGACAAAGCATTTGCAATTTGTCCAAAGGAAATAGCTTTTTTGATATTCATGAAATGGCTGTGTCATGTTAGTAGTTAGTGATGTAGTCACGACATCGCTTAAGGCAATTCATTAGACCTAACACAGCTCCCACAAAAGGATTTTTACAACAAGACCTGTAAACAGACTTTGAAGTGTAAAATAGTCTGAGTTTCCTGGAAAACCCGTTTATGAATATTGGATTATTAATGCACTTTTTCCCAGTAAATGAAGCCCTCTTAACATTTTTGGTAGCATCAGCATAGCTCGTATCGATAGTCAATCAACCCGAAATAAATACATACACTCCTAATCATTGTTGAATTTAAAGGTGCACAAACACATAAAGCTCTGGGAAATATTAAGAGACCACTCAACTCTCGATCTCTACATGTATGGCAGCCATTCCATTCCAGTGTCTGATGAATTCCAACACAGAGAAATGTTGTCAGTAGGGTATATAATAATAATACAAAACAAATTCATTTGACTCAAACACATACCTATAAATAGTAAAACCAGAGACACTAATAATTTTGCAGTGATCTCTTAATTTGTTCAAAAGCTGTGTATGCAGACAGCCAGGAACAGTACTTGTTTGTGTGTTTATTCACTCTAACAGGAAGGTTCTTGAGTTCATGGCGCTGACATAAGTGAGTTGTGAAACACACAAATATACACTTACACACCAGCTTTGTTTCCACTCTCAACATGGAGCCATTTACAATCAATTCCACCCGCCTTCATCAAAGGTGAAAACAAGTCCATTCTCCGTCTTCACCAGCATTCCTCCAATCACAAGTAGTGATTTCACCTGTGACACTGCTCACTTACTGTGGCTGCTCTCACCCCTTCTCCCCCCGAGAGGCAACAACATGCTCAGGAGTTTATTGACTGTGACTGGTGTGTCATCACGCTTTTTTTTTCAGGCGGAGAATAAGCACAAGAGCTTTCAGGAACTCGACCGATTTATGCACTACTACACACGCTTCAAGAACCACGAGCTCAGCTATCAGGTGAGCAGGCCTGGGTTTGCATTCAATGATGTCTGCTTTGCACTGTGTACAGACGCATATTGTAAAACTGGCCCCAGGGCCTCTTAGGTGGACATACTTTCCAATGCACTACAAACTGATCAAACTATTTGTACTCTAACAATATTACTCGACTCTCTCCTACTTTTTTAGTATTCTTGTAGCAGAAATAAGCAGATCACAATGTCTTGATTTAAAAAAAAAAAAGCCCTCTGCGTTTACCTTTTGTTGGCTCATTCTGCCTGACAGTGTGGCATTTCCAATGTTTGGTCAGACAGTCTTCTCAAGAAATGTTTTACCCAACAATAAAGTCTAACAGCTTCTTTGTTCCTCACAATAGCTGGAGCAGCGCCTGTTGAAAACCGCCAAAGAGAAGATGGAGCAGCTCAGTCGAGCCCTGAGTGGAAGTGAGTGTGCAGTCTGCCATAACCGTGTCAATCTTTATTACACATTCAGACTAATCTTAATCTAGTCCTCTGATATTGAGCTTTTGGAAGTAGGCAGGAGGGAGAAAGAAACACAGCAACAGTGTTTTAATAATTTATTAACAACAGTGAGTTTAGTTATTATTCTGTAAGTTACAAGAAAGCTGTGAGTAAGCTTTGTCTAGAGTCCTCTTAAGCCCCATCGGTGCAGGCAATTACATCCCGTTTAGCATAGCCACGTTTTCTCTGTTAGGATTTCAGTAGAATCTGATAGCAGTGGTGTACCTTACCTTAAAGGGGACCTATCATGCAAAATGCACTTTGTATGTCTTTTATACATGAATATGTGTCCCCGGTGTGTCAGGGAACTCACCAAGTGTCAGAAAACACAACCCTCTCTCTTTTCCTCCATACTCAAATCTCTAAAAACGGGGCTGATTATTATTTGAATTTTTCTGACGTCAGAAAAGGGGTGCTCCGCCTATATGGGCAACTCTCCACCTATCAGGGGAATGAGAGACCGCTCGAAAGCGCTGGAGACGCTGTAGTACATATGCCAGACCTGTAAGTGGCGCTGTGGTCTGCCACAAAAGCAGAATCAGCCCTTGCAAAAACAGGGCTGGAAAAGAGCAAATAGAGCGAAATGAGGCATGGCTAAAATGCATGATCTGTTTGGTATTTTGAAAAGAAAACTTCACAGACATGTTTTATATAGGTATGACCCTACAATATATGTTTCAAATATAGCATGATAGGTCCACTTTAAGTTTGACTGCCAACGATAGACACATGTAAATGTCCATAACTCAACCTTCCTAAGTTTGGTTAAGGTCAAAATGGCTAAATTCATCCTGCACGATACATTTGCGGATCACAATGTGAGCATGAAACTCACCTTAGATCTAAAATCTAGATCCCTTAATATAGAAGAACAGTATCTACAATACATTAAGCACAATGGATTTCTCATTATTTTGTACTGATCTGCTTGGATGTGTATGTAGTTGAGGCTGGGATAAGATTTGAATCCTGTGGATAAAACTTGTAGTTATCTGAGTGTCTCTTCTCTCTCCCAGGGGAAGGCGGCCCCCCTGACACCACATTCATTGAAGATGCAGTCCTGGAACTACTGAAGACCCGCCGCATCCTGAAGTGCTCTTATCCTTATGGGTTCTTTCTGGAGCCCAAAAGCACAAAGAAGGAGATTTACGAGCTTATGCAGGTCTCAGTCTTACTTATTCAGAAGGAAAGACAAATGTTCACAGCAGCCGGTTTTAAATGGGCCATTAGAGGTGTTAGACGGGAGCTCTGCTTCCTCGTGATCCCCACAATCTGTCCCAGTTACACCTCACATCTCAGCTTTTAGTTAAAGACTGAGTGTTGTGTAATTCATGATCACCGGTATAGAAGAGGAATATACTTACCTGATGTCTTTTATATTCTGTGCCTTTTTTTAAATACTGTAAAATGAATGAGCGGGAGTCCTGTAGGTCTCAGTCTCTTAAAGCAGTGGTTCTCAAACTTTTTTCAATAATGTACCCCCTTTGAAAAAAAAATGCAGCCAAGTACCCCCTGATCAGCGCAAAAACTATTTGTTAGGGAAAAAATGCCTATATAAAGAGGTACAGTGCTGCACCATCAGTGCCTGATTTATTAAAACAACAACCTTGTAACTGAGAAACACTTAAATGCTATATTTCAAATGTTTACAATCCATCACTAAATTCATGGCAAACCAATTTTAACATCATGCAATAACACTAAGACGACATTAGCTGCATTGAACTGATCTTTTTTACAAGTTGTACTTACAATGTAGTGAGAAACATGGGCTTGTGCTTCACTGAGGACCTTTGTCATTCTGACAGCGAGGCTACTGCAGTTATTACACTTCGCGTTTTGAAATATGTGTAACTCTGTTCATATAAAACCCACACTGCTAAAACTTCCTTACTTTTCCTAAAATTGGTATATCTATTTATTTTGGGGCGTGAAAACAATATATGAGCATTTTATGAACATGGGATTTTGACCCCTCATATAAACATTATGCATAATGCTGCGCTATACTTTGCGGCCACACACCGTTCCCAAGCAACGCTTATTGTTTAGGTCCTTTGATAAGCAGGCAGTCATATAATTAACTAGAACTATCTAGATCTGATAGATTTGGACATAAACGCGAGTGAAGTATAACCGGACGCGAGAGAGAGAGATCAGATCAGCTGCTGCTGACGGAGAACATGCAGCTCTGCATTATCACAGCTCCCCCGCTGTGACGGACTAAGCTAGTTTATCTACTCTGGAACTAGCTAAACTAGTTATAAATATATTTATTCTTTACTGTCGGGTCACTTATTACAGGTTCAGCAAGCTGCACGAGACTGACGGGCTGTGAGGAGAGGGAGAGGAGAAGAGAGCACCCCGTTTATTTTTCCCATTCTATTATCCAGAATTACTGTAAACTTTTGAATAAAGTAGTTCATCTACTATTAGTAGTTTGTTTAAATGCATTACTTTTTTTTCATTAACTTAAAATAAATCTCACGTACCCCCTGCAGTACCCCTGCAGTACCCCTAGGGGGCCGCGTACCCCTATTTGAGAACCACTGTCTTAAAGGCTGGCAAAGATGAATTCATTTTTAGATACGTGCTCAGTGGTCACTTTGTCCTGGAATATTCCGGTTTGGGAACAGATTATTATATAAGTGTTTTCATACATTAAAGCATTTCCTGACTGAGTTTCCTAAAACAGATCTCTTTCTGTCCTCAGACGGACTTGGAGATGGTGACGGAGGACCTGGCTCAGAAGGTGAACCGACCTTACCTGCGGACCCCGCGCCACAGGATCATCCGGGCAGCCTGTCTGGTTCAGCAGAAGCGGCAGGAGTTCCTGGCCTCAGTGGCTCGGGGAGTGGCCCCCAATGACTCTCCTGAGGCCCCCAGGCGCAGGTAAAATACAGATATGCTGCTCATCTTATTTGTACTATAAAAACAATGCTGTAATATAACAGAGCTGCGGTTTGGAATAATCAAAAGTAGCTAAGGTATTAGATTTCAGCAATGAATCACAATGGAAAACTTCTCTCTCTGCTCACTTGCAGTTTTACCGGCGGAACGTGGGACTGGGAATATTTAGGCTTCGCATCACCTGAGGTAACAGAACATGTCTCATTATTTTTCAGTCAAGGTTTGTTAGGAAAATGTCAAATGTGCTGTGTGAACAAAATGTGCATATTGTTTTATTCAGGATCATAAACTTCTTTATGGATTAATCCCTGTCAAAATCGTAATAATTTCTTCATCATGATTGAAGATTTCTTTCAGAAACAACGTTTATTGCACTTAAAAATGCTAAACTGCCTTAATTTTGACATATGATTTAACATTGAGAGTACACTGTGTATAATGAACATTAAATCATTTAAATGATGGAAAATCACTGCAGAGGTTGCACTAATATTATACCTGTCGCTCTCTCCAGCAATCACACCCGTGTTTCAGGCTGAAAGTGATTCATGAAGGCTCTTGAAACTGAAACCTTGATTTGATCTAGTGATTCAGGCTCTTCTCTGTTAATGTCACAGCTAATCAGGTTTAAATAATTGCCCACACTCACATTATAAAATAATTAAATGATTCAGCCCTACCTTATTCCTTTTTAATAAAGTCTGTATATATATCTTAATCTTTTTTAATATGGCTGTTTGTAAAGTGTGTGAGCAGCAGCACTGAGGCCCCTCCGCGACCCAGAGGCCGTGTTGTGGCACACTGCAGCGGGCCAGATGGCTCAGTGTTCCCTGTGCACCCGCTCGGAATGATTAAAAGCGCGGCACTCTGGCACTCACCTAAGCAGGTTGCTCCCCATCATTGCGCATTAGTAACAGGCATTTGTAGTTAACTTTTACAGTCATAAAACTGTCGGCACATAATGGTTTGATTATTGACCGGCCTCCTTTTTTCTGCATGGCTTGATGCATGCACTCAATAGTGCTGCATAAGACAATACACTGCAGTCGAGCTTCTATTATCGTTTAGCTCATAGAGCGTGGCGGTTTTTAAACACACAGGCTGTTCATCCGGAACACATTCAGCTCAACAGCTCTCCTCAGGCTCCTTACAACACCACAAATATGCAAATCTTACATCTCCCTAAGCCTCTCAGGGTTTTGTGCACACCTTTTAACAGCATAAAGCGGACATTTCCCTATTGACAGGAAAACAAATGACAAGATCAGTGTTGCTTGCCAGTTTGATAAATGAATTTTGAAAATGCTTATCCCTCTGCCTGCTCAGCGTCATGTAGCGAGGCATAGGAGAAACTCTGCAAAGCTTTTGTTTACTCAAGGTTTACTGAGTAAACGCTGGACATATATACTATGTGCACACTGAAAGCAGTGAAAGACGATTACACTGATGCCAAGGATGTCTGAAAAAGAAGTTTTTTATTATACTCATAAATGTCTAAATATCCTGGATGATGTACTTTAACAAGGTAACCTGATCCTCTGTTGTCTGTAGATTATAACATATTAACACCATGACATAGTGTTACAGAGCACCGTATCTATTTGTTTACTGCAGTGTGTAAACCATTATTGATTTTGGAGACAAAAGTAGCATACAAGCCAACTGAAGCACACACAACCATTTAAGTAAACAATACACAACATATATTTCATTACCCTCGGCACACACTACAAAGATGTGACTTATCTTCAAAAGAACACACAAACAAATAAATGAAAACGTTTTTTTCCAAAGAGGATTTAAATAAAGAAATCGCTGTCACCAGATCATTTTGCATAGTAAATGTTGCCACCAGATGCTGAGCAGAAAGCCAAAAGCTAAAATAAAAAAGGTTTTTTATTGTTGACCCTCATTAGGAGGCTGTCTCTCAGCTGCAGGAGTTACCCCTCGATTCCACCGGGTCCGTCTGCGTCGCGGTTTTGGTCCGGCGTCATACCCTACCGGGCGCGTTTCAGAAGCGGAGCGTCTTGCGTGCCGGCTCGCAGTTTTTGTTGAATTGTACAGACAAAGTTAATAATAATTGTAATATTCCAGTTATAAACGACATGAATCAAAGATGTGTTGCTGTATTTTAGTGGTAAAAAAAATGCATTCATCATCATAATTATTCTAGATATATCATTTACACAGTGCCTGTAAACCGGAGGAGAACGCTGGCATTTGTCCTCCTACTTGAAAGACTACGGAGGGATAGGGTCTGCAAAATTAGTTTATTTTGGGGATTGACTGGATGCTCTGACCGGTCCACTTCCTGCCCGGCGCCTCTGCAACGCCTCGCCTCGTGTCACGTCAAAAATAGACTTGCATCCTATTTTTAGCGGAGCCCAGCGCCGAGACGCTTCTGGGACGCTTCTGAGCCGTAACGCGGCGCGTCAGGTGGAATAGCACCCATTGACTAGAGTGGCCGCGATCTTTGCGAACACCGCGGCGCAACCGTAACGCGGCGCAGACGGACCCGGTGGAATCGAGGGCAGTGCAGTGATAATCAGAGCCTGATGCTGCCTCTCAGCTACAGATGCCCTGCTCTCACAATGCCTCGCTCCATAGTGGTGGAAACATCAGACAGTGTGTGGGTGAGAGGCGTTTTCATTTGAACACTGCGACAAATATATGAGATGAGCTGATTATTTCCCGAGGTATTCATATGCAGATGTGCAAATACATTACATAAAAGCTTTTTATGTTATTGGACACACTAGCATTTACAAGCTATGACCTCTACCTTGACCTCTACATTCAAATGAATTGTGCGAGTGATCACTACAAAAGCTGAACCCTAAAATATTATTCCTTATTTGTGGATCTAGGTTTGAAGTAAATTAAAGATTACAGAGTAATACACTTAATTTAGGAATATGCAGTATATTCCTAAACTAGGTGTATACTTCCATTAAAACGTTGTTGGATATCTTTTATGCCTTTTTATTAGGCTGCCTCTTATCGTCCGTCCTCTGACACCTTCATATCACTGGATCTGTTGATACATATCAGTCAGTTATCAGCGCTGTTAAATGAACACAAAAGGAACCGTCACACACATAGATATCCAATCATTAGAAATGCATCATTTTGCACTCACCTATAACACTATAGTGCTTTTTTTTGCAATCCCATTTAGACACGCTGTTTGACATATTGTCCTGTGTTAATTGACATCATTTAAACGTCCCCGAGTGATAACGTGCCAAAAACATCAGATTAGTCCTAATAGTGCGAGATGTGCTGCCTGGTCTCCCCCCACTCTCGCAGAGAACACGCCGCATCGTTAGACTGATTTGAGGCTAATTAAATGTGGACTAATACAAAACGGCACACCCTTTCTTAATGAACCTAGAGAAATATGTATTTTGTATTCAATCAGTCAGTGAATCAATATTTCATTTATTCTTGTATTTAATAACTGCACTTCTGATAAGGTATTCGGGTTGCCTCTGAGATTAGTTAGACATGCATAGTTTTTCCAAATGTCTGAACCTCAAGTTGCCTAATTTCCAATTCCTTTCCAGTGAGGGCGTGCTCGGTACAGACTGAATGATTGAAGGCTTGGCTTGGTCAGTGCTCATCTCTCCTGGAACAGAACACTCCGACCTCATTTGAAGCAGACTCCCCTACTGGAGCTGCCAGTTTATAAGTTCACCTATTCCATTTCATACCAAAAAAGGAATCCAGGAAAAAGTGCAACTGTGCTCATGATGAGCAGTACATGGCAACTTTGTTCTGCCAGCAACATGTTGATTTGTTGATTTCAATAAGGGACATTGCGATGGGCTCAACTGCTCCATAAGAGCATCTGTTGAATCAAACAATAGTATAATGAGTTTTAAATGAGGGGATATGCTCCTTTTGACTAAATCTATTTTTGACGTTTCTAAGGAGTATGCAGAGTTCCAGTACAGACGGAGACACAGGCAGAGGAGGAGAGGCGACATGTCGAGTCTCCGGAGCAACACACCTGACCCCGACGACTCCAGTGACAGCATCTTAGGTACTGCAAGCAGAAAGGACAGACATATCCCTCAGGGAGTCTGCATGGTTCAATCGGTAATGATCTAAAGCCTGATGATCTCACGCGTTCAAACCATTCCTGGTTGTGATTGGCTCAGTTAGGTCTGCACATAAAATAAATGATATTAGTTTATATTTCTATCAATTATTGTTTGTTAATAAAAAATAGGCATAATAAAGTCAAAGGAAGGCAAGTCATAAAAAAGCCTGCTAAGATTTATAATCTAATTAAGCAATAGCTCACGACAGGCTGTGGTATATGCTCATTATATCACAGCTAAGGGGCGTGGTTCGGCCCGACGCGACAGCCCAACTTTATACTGTTTTTCTCAGACGCGGAGGGATACTGACTTGTTGTGAAAAGTAACTTACAATTCTACCCGTGGTATACGCTCAGTATATCACGGCTAAGAACCAATCAGATTGCTTGATTTGACTTGTCCGTTTTATAAGCTCAGATGACCCATTAGATTAAACTACATTTTAAAGTTTAGTTCTCTAAGGTGACGTGTTCAGAACCCAAATGAGGGTATTAGCCCAAACGTTAGAACATTACAACTTCTCAAGTTCAACAGGCCAATATTTCCAATCCATCAGTCTTATGTATCACACTGCTGCTCTGTCTGTGGCTGGCTGGAATACAAGATGGACAGAGTTTGCAGTTTGGCAGCCAGCTAAAAGGTTCTGTTGTGCCAGGAAGGATTCATTGATTTCAGATGAATATATTGACTTAGTTATTTTCCAGGGAATGCAGAGAATCTGTGAGGTTGCCATTATTTGGTCATTTTGCAGTGTTTTGCAAGATGATTTGGGGAAAAGTGTTTATTAGCAATGAGTTGAGATTTATTTGAATATGTATATTTTGACTATGGCTGTTTGTCCATTTCTTTTCTACACAGACTCACAGGTTAGTGGACGCAGACATCATCTGATGGTGAGTGCACAGTTCCCACCTTCAGCTCCAGGCTTTTATCCTTTAGACCAGTGGTTCCCAAACGGTGTGCCGCGGCACACTGGTGTGCCGTGAGGCAAGTCCGGGTGTGCCGTGGGATTTTGTGACAACCATACGTTATTATTGCAATATACAACTACACAAAAATAATTATTTTTAAATGTACTATATCAGTACTTTGTAGGTTTATATGTACGTAATCTGCGCGACTTGCGCGTCCACATCTCCACGTGAAGTGCTGCATAAACATGGCTGAGTCAGCGATAACTTTCGAGGGGTATGCCCATTACTTTGAGTTGGTCCGAAGAATAGACAGGAATGTGACGGTGAGGTGCAAACTGTGTCCAGGCCAGAAGCTGTTATCCACTGCTGTAAACACCACGTCAAACCTCAACAAGCACCTGCAAAGAACACATGCTAAGGTGAAGCTAACGCACACGCTATTTGTTTGTTTATATCACGTAGTCTGTTCTTCTTCTCTGTCTTCCGGTTGTTGCCTGTTTTGAATGACAAATACACACTACCGCCGCCTGCTGGTAAGGAAAGTTATTGCCACTCACGGATGCGCAGTTCGTACGTGCTCGGCGAGTAAAGTCACGAGTTACTTTATGTAGATAGTAACGAAGTAGTGTAATATATTACTTTAAAAAAAAAGTAATATGTAATATATTACATTTGTTTAGTAACGACCCCATCTCTGGAGTTGGCGTTCTCTACTCTGATTTACATGAAGAACAACAGGAGGTCACGGCTCTCTGTTGAGCAGGACTTGCGAGTGGCCCTCTCCTCAGTGCCACCAAGGATTAAAACATTCTGCGCGCCCCGACAGGCACATGTATCTCACTAATTTTTTAGTCGGCAAAATATTTACAATAGCACATGTTTCAATGTTGATTGCTGAAATGTTACATTTATAATTTGTAGTTCAGGACCATGGACAATGCAGCTTCCTTGCATTGACAGTTCTCTGTGCTGAATTTCTGCTGAGTTTCCTTTGCCTCATTTTTTATGTTGTGACCTGTCTGGTTTAAATGTGTGTTGCTGCTTTGATGAAGCCTAATTTGGTAAAGTTTCAAATTAATTTCTGAAATATTTCGTTAATAAATATGTCATGAGTAATATAGTTGTCTTTGTCACATTTTATTTGGCATTAATAAATAATTATGCACATTTACAGATATTTTACATGATATGAGTGATAACACGTGTTATAAGGGCTATTTTGCACAATAGGTGTGCCTTGAGATTTGTACTTGTCCTTTGGTGTGCCTTGGGTACAAAAAGTTTGGGAACCACTGCTTTAGACAATGTCAATGTCTAGTGTATGGCATGAACCAGGTGGGATTGCTTAACTTGTTTTTGTTTCTCTTATATATTTATATTTTTCAAGGCACTCTTAAAAAGGCATGCTTCAGTCTAGGATGCTTCTTCAGACTATAATTGTGTACACTGTTCAATTATACAAGAGTTAGGAGATAAATCCAGAGTCCGATTCAGGAGAAATAGAATGTGATTGACGGTTGTCATTATATATTCACATAACTATAAAACAGAATAATATTTAATGAATTTTGAAGTGTAAAATCTGAAAAACGCATTGGCTGGATTTTAAGTTGAGGAGTGGAGCTGTTGCTGCTGCTGCCTTGTTAGTGGATGATATTGGTTTGGCCTGCATCACTGACACTTTTTTCTTGCAGGGTCTCGGTTCTTTAGACGACGATGACCCTAACATCCTCCTGGCCATCCAGCTGTCGCTCCAGGACTCAGCGATGGCAGAGATCGCATACAACCATGACGCACTCGCCAACGAAGCCTCGCTCGGCGCCATCGGCACCTCTCTGCCCTCCAGGCTGGAGCAGAGTGCTGCAGGTGTGGAGCTGCTGTCCAGAGCTTCTCTCAGCAGCTCCGAGCTGCTGGAGCTGGAAGATAACTTGGCCCGACTGGGCTCCATCAGCAGCCAGTTCTCTGCGCAGCACGCTGACAGCCACCTCCGGGCCTACAGGGCCTCGCTGCCCATCCCAGTGGCTCCAGGTGGCAGCACCTCCTCCACCGGCCTCTTCTCCTCCTCCAGCGACACGTTGGACTCCAACACTTACGGCAGCCACGACCCATCCTCCTCCTCCGCACTAGCCAATGCAAACCTGCTGGGTAATATTATGGCGTGGTTCCACGACATGAATCCTCAAGGCATCACCCTGGTCCCCTCCACCTCCTCTGACTCCAACCTCAGCGCACTCCATGCAGGCGGAGGAGGGGGTCTGCTTGAGGAGGAGAAGAGCGGATGCATCCCGCCTGAGAACAGGAAACCTCAGGAAGTGACGGCAGAGGTGGGTTTCTGCTCTCAAAAGGAGGAGAGGGAGGGTGCCGCGGCTCAGAGGCCCACACAGTTAGATCTGGTGGGGCTGGAAACCACGCCCCCTTCTTACATGGCCACCCTCAACAAAAGCAGCGATCATACATCACGGGGAACCTCAAGGGTGGACACTCCACAGTGCGACTCTGAGCAGATGCCCAGCAGCAGCTCCTCTGAGTGGGAGGACCACCTGGTGTGAGGAGGCAGAGATGGGAAGGGGCTCTTTCGGAAAGGCCAAAAACCACTAAAGTTTGCAAATGAAGTTGAGTTGTGGAACATGTACAGTAGCTGTTCAAGTGGAATGTATACAGAATTAAGAATGTATCGGTTCACAGGAAAGTGGGGCAAGAAATTTAGACACTCAAAAGTTGTCTAAACTTGTAAGTGCTATCCACAGGTTACCCGGTGTAACAGCGGTTACATTCGAACTACCAGTTAGAGCTGCTTCGATCCACACTCTATTCCAGTTGGTGACGTTATATCCCAGAGGGTCCACGCAATTTGGTTGTTTTAGTATTTAATTTCAAGAGGAATTATTCAAATGTGTTTAACAGTGGATCTCCTTGCAGATACCTCTTTTCAAAGAAATCCTTCATTTGTTTTTTTGTCTTCTTTTTGGCCAACAGGCTAGAGGTGCATGAGCCACCAGCTGGACTGCAGTGTGGATCTAAACTGAAGCATGTGCAGCAGACAGGGAGTGCATGAAGTACACGCCTTTAGGTTGGTATAACATTGGTGTGGCATCGCTTTTCCTGCAGTTACTATATTGTCAGACCCCCAACAAGCAGCCCTTGCGAAAAGAAAGCATTAACTGAAGGAGAAATTAGATAACACTTTTCAAGGATATTTACTAAATGTTAGAAGTATAAATAACTTGCCGTTTTCTGAAACCACTTATAGAGGAGATACGAAATGTAGAGTCTTTTGCATAGTGCAGGTATTTGTAAAAGCCTAATGTATGTGTCTAAATCATGTCTGAGGGAGGTTTTCACCCTGACATACTGTACTGGCTGACTGATGTTATTCCCACTCACCCTGTGGGGTAAAGCAGGGAGTCTTGCTCCTGTGCACACCTCCCTTTTAGGTGCCAAACACTGACTAGTAAAAGCACCGTTTGCAGTCGCCAAGTGGATTCTTCTAAACAAATTGTGCCTGCTTATTACAATCTCAACAACTAAACCTAAATGTGAAAGTCTGGAGCCATATTTGTATTTGAGATTGTGTGGTATATTTCCAATATTACCATGTAAAAGCTGTAATAGTGTGCCGTGTTAATCTGTAGTTGAACACCATTATAGTTGTGTACTTCATTATGTGAAACATTCACACAAAGCAATTTACATTTGTTGGTCGAGTGCTAAAAAACATTTAGGAATTGACAATGGTTGTTCATCCCAAAGCCTTATCCCTCACACTCTCTCAATGAGAAATGTCTTCAGAAACAGCTGACAGGCCCCGAGGGGTCATTCTGAAATCCTTTGTAGCGCGCTCACATTCGTGTGAGCACTGCAGAGTGCAGCGTGACACGCTGAGCAGACACTGACAAGTCTTGTTTATATACTGCAGGAACAGCCCAGTGGAACAGCCCAGTGAGAGAGATAATCAGGCAATCTCATTCAGACTATGGTGAATTAATTAATCACGCCCAAGTCCCTGTAATGACTCTCTGGGTCCTGTTAAAGTGTGATATGAGCAGAGCCTTCATAGGGTAATGCATGGAGGGTCCACGAATGTGTCCTGCACCTGGAACACGAGGAGTCCACCTTCTCTACGCAGAGAGATACACAGTGCCTTTAAGTCAATCAACTTTATTTTCTTTCTTTTTGCACATGTTTCCAAGTGCTAATTATTACACAGTATGTACAGTGTAGACAAACACCTGTTACCTTAAAGTTATTTCTCTTACATACGAGAAACATGAGATCTTGATTCTTTTTCTCATCTAATTATTTGTAGCATGAGCTTTTTGTTGGTTCTAGTAGTATGTTAATGGTAACACTGATTTGGTATAATGTTTCCAATATTGCTCCAAAAGATTTAGAAAAAAGATGTTGCGCTTGTTTTTGTGCAGCAGGGCTTCTGTTCCTACATTTTTAAAACAGTTGGTTTTTCTGAGATGTAGAAACTCAAACGACTACCTGTATCATGATCTTACCCGAAGACACTAAAATGGAGGAATGTTGCAATATAAAGTAGGTATTTATTTGAAATGAGTGTAATCCGTGAAAGAAAATGGATTGTGAATAACCATTGACACATGGATCAGTGTTTTATCTTTAAGATTGAATTATGTTTTTGTACAGACTAATGTCTGACCGAAGCAGATCAGCTGTTTTCCCCTAGCAGACGGATAGAGCCACTAAATGAGATCTGAATGCAGTGATGAGTGCCATATAGTTAGTGAAGGTCTTTCATTGGACGTGGGTTGAAACAGAGATACTGCACGTTGGCCTCTGTGCATGAAGTGGGTACAGGTCTAATGGAGTTTGTACTTCCTTTCGCCTCTAATGTGATTTATTTTAAAACGGCATATAGCATTTTGTAACTCACTGAGATTTTTTATTGTAAAGCAACTAATCCTTGAAATGCTATTTGCACTTTCGTAGTCTATACTTGATACATTCCCTCTTTATATGAAACATGTTTGATGTGTGATGCCAATAAACTTTGTGTTGAGTTTGAATGTGTGTTTTGTCATTGAGATACCTGTGGATCTGTTTCTGTCCCTTAATGGAGTTAGCTTGGTTTCCAAAAGCATCTTTCCCCTAAACTACAGGATGACTGACACCTCTTCTCAACAGCTGACCATCACTGGGCCCTGTTGTGCTTTAGGGGCTTTTCCATTTCCTGTAGTTTTTCTGCATGTTCATTGTCTGCAAAGATTGAACTAGTTGCCAGCTCATAGTCTTATTGTGAACCCGGAAATGTTAGTTAACTCCAAAGTTTCATAATGGAAATGTAGTACGGGTCCCCAGAACATAGAAACTGCTGGATGCTAACTTGCTGGGCAATTTGCACAATGACCATAACTATAGGTTACTTACGTAACCCCAGTTCTCAGAGTAACATGAAGTGAGATGTCTCACTATGGGATGTGCCTCATCGCGGAGCAAACAGAAGCATCAATCTCATTACGCCAATCCTGATTGGCTGGTGATCTTGACGTCAGCGTCAGGGAAATCACCCCCTATAAGTAGCTTGCGCCACGACGCATGCACCATTCAAAAATAAGCACCTCTTCTCGCTTCACCATAGCAAGGAGGGCCGTCTGGTGAGACATCTCACTTCATGTTACTCTGAGAACTGGGGTTACGTAAGTAACCTATAGTTCTCATTCATAACACTCCGTTCGATGTCTCACTATGGGAAATTGTAGCTCCCGTATTGCCAGACGAGCTTATCTCGAAAATCACCAAACCAACCAGAACTTAACAGGTAGAGCTCTGACTCAACCAGATGCCCAGCACTGCTTGAGTCACACTGGGAGCAGAACGTCCAGCCTGTTAGGAGACAGACAGAAGTGAGCGGCGAGGACCAGCTCGCCGCTGCACCAATGTCTTTGATGGGAGACATCCTGGACAGAGTCCAGAATGCAGCCAGACCCCGAGTCCAAAGAGCTCGCGGACCCGAGGGTGCCTGCGAACTCTGACTCGTATGAGCCCCAAAGCAATTGCTTCCACAGACCAGTGGGAGAGCCGTTGCTTAGTAACAGGCTTGCCCTTATAAGGGTTAGCCCAGGACACAAGGGGTTGGTCATTATGACAAAGCACCCTTGATCTGTCCCTGTACGTGCGTGAAGCACAGGCTGGACACGGCAAATCCGGCCGCTGTTCCCCGGAGGAATACAGTGGCGGGGAGGATGCCTCAATGTCAAATGTGGTACCCGAACCGACCGCCTTAAGATAAAGGCAGGGTTAGGCTTCAACCACACTCTGTTTGCCCTGGGGCAAACTGAGTGCATGAAAACTGTACAGATAGTGCATGAGTGCCACTGGCTCGCTTGGCAGCTGCCAGGGTCAGCGTCATGTCACACTGTATTTAGATTGTACCACTCACGGGCCAGGCCCATAGAGCCAAGCGCTCTGGGTGTGGGTGAAAGATCGCCCCCCCCCCCCCGCTTGGGACAGTATGTCCCTGCGTAGTGGGAGCTGCCATGGCTGCCCGCACAGCAGCTGATATATCTCCGCTAGCCAGTACATAGCTGGCCAGTGCGGAGCTATCAGGATAAGTGTGTGGCGTTGCTCTCTCACTCTGGCCAGAGTTGGGGGTATCAGAGCCAGGGGTGGGAACGCGTACAGAAGGCCCGGGGGCCAATTGTGCGCGAGTGCATCCACGCCTAACGGTGCATTTAGATCGCGCATCGAAAAGAACAGCTGACACTGAGCGTTGTCTTTCGATGCGAACAGATCCACCGCGGCTCTGCCGTAACGCACCCACAGCTGGCTCACAATCCTTGGATGTAGAGTCCAGTCTGCATAAAGTGGTATACCTCTGGACAGTAGATCTGCCCCGAGGTTCATCACTCCCGGTACGTGCGTCGCTCTCAGAGAGAGGAGACGTCTCCCGCTCCATAGGATAAGTTTGCGCGCCAGTGTGTGTAACTGGAGAGAACGCAAACCCCCTTGGCGGTTAATATACGATATTGTGGTCGTATTGTCTGTCCTCACGAGGACGTGATGTCCCCTGAGGAAAGGCAGAAAGCGTTTTAGGGTGAGAAACACCGCTAAAAGCTCCAGGTAATTTATGTGCGCCCGCTGGAGGTCTCTGCTCCAGAGACCCCTCACCGGGCGACCTTCATAAATACCTCCCCAACCTGTCAGACATGCGTCCTTTTCACTTTCCGTGAAAGGACAGCACCCATAGGCACACCTCGTACTAGAAAAGTCGGGTGCAGCCAGTGGCGCAGTGCCATTACGCATTTCACAGTAACCATCACTCTCCGCGCGCCATGGTTTAGTTTTAGGGCGGCCACCCAGCGCTGAAACTCCCTCATGTGTAAGCGTCCCAGTCGTACGACCAGGATGGCTGACGCCATGAGCCCCAGCAATCGCAGGCATGATCTGAAGAGAACATGTTTGCGCAGCTGGAAAAGAGCGAGACAAGCTCTGAAAGCTTTCACTCTATCTGCTGACAAGCGAGCTGAAAAGGGCACCGAGTTCAGGTGTAAACCCAGGAAGAGTATAGTCTGCGCGGGGCACAACATGCTCTTCTCTGTGTTTATTATGAAACCCAGGTTGAGCAGGTGCTTTACGAGGACATTCGTCTGCGTAACAGCCTCCTGCTCCGACTGTGCGAGAAGCAGCCAGTCGTCCAGGTAGGTCGCCAGGCGAATACCCTGTTGTCTTAACGGGGCTATCGCGGCTTCCGTACATCGTACAAACACCCTTGGACTGAGAGACAGACCGAAGGGGAGTACTCTGTATTCATAACAGATCCCCTGAAATGCGAATCTCAGATATTTCCTGTGTGGGTAATATACTGGGATGTACGCATCTGATGTAAACCAGTCGTCTTGTCGCACGAGCCGCAGCAGAGATGTGTGAGTGAGCATTCTGAACTTATATCTTTTTAGATATTTGTTCAGAGCCCTCAAATCAAGTATTGGCCGAATTCCGTTCCCTCCCCGTTTGGGAACGAGGAAGTACTTGGAATAGAAGCCGCCCTGACTCTGCTCGGCGGGTACAATAGATATAGCCCTCTTTTCTAGGAGTGAGAGAATCTCTCTCTCCAGAATATGGGCTGACTCTCCTCGGGCCTGCGAATGCAGAATGCCCGAGAAGCGAGGGGGGGTGACAGCGAATTGGAGTCTGTAGCCCCGTGTTACTGTCTTGAAAACCCAAGCAGATGATGTGAGCATCTTCCACTGCGTGCTCCTTAGAGCCAGTGGAGATGTCACGTCTCTTCCCCTCTGAGTCTCTATTTGTTGTGTTATGGGGCCCTCTAGTGTCTGAACACAGTGGTGCCCCTTTTCGACAATCCCACCGACACTGCGCATGCGCATGACGGTGGTGCCTTCACAACCCCAGCCGGCACTGCGCATGCGCGTGACGGTGGTGCCTTCACAGACCCGCCTGTAATCCGCCTTTTGAGAGATGCTCTCAGAAGGGGAACAGTTGACGGGCTGTTTATTGGTTTTATTGTTTTTCTTATCATTTTTTTGAGCTGCGCCCTCGGCCTGAAGCCTGGATGCGTCAGCGGCAAATGTTTTATGACAGAGGAACAAACAGATTTGTGACATGTGTTTTTGCGGACTTGAGGATGGTGTTGAGGCATCTCTCGAGGCGGCGGGAACACATTTAGAGCTGGGGAACTGTGGACTTCCAGCTCTGTCACGGAGGGGCTGTCACGCCGCTCGCTTCTTCTTCCTCGCCTGCTGGCCGAAATTCTGGGTTGGCTGCGCCTGAGCTGCAGCCGGAACCGGAGATTTTCTGGGCCAGCTCGCCCTCGTCTCCAGCCTGGGCTGGGGACTCGGGGCGGGCTGCGACCTCTGCATTTTCGGTGTTTTAAACCGAGCAGGGTTCAAGGCAGCTTGGGCGAAGGACTGCTGCTGCGAAGGACTGCTGCTGCGAAGGACTGCTGCGGCGAAGGCAGCGGCTGGACCCTTCGAGGGAGGCAGAGATGGAGTGCCTCGTCCTCCCTCTTTTTCGACTCACACCTCCTTTGCATGGAAGCAAGAGCGGAGCCGAAAATTCCCTCGGGAACGATGGGCATATCCAGCACATCCTCCTTTTCCCGGTCTGGGAGGTTGGTGAGGTTGAGCCATCTCGCTCTTTCCTGCACCACCATGATCCCCATTGCCTTACCCGTGGCCTGGACGGCGCAGCGTTGGACACGGAGACAGATGTCTGTGACCGCTGCCATCTCGTCCAGAGTGGCTGCCCCCGGGTTACCCGACAGGTCCTCGCAGAGCTCCGCTTGGTAAGCGGTTAGCTGCGAGGCCACGTTCAGGGCCCTGGCGGACAACGCTGCGGCTTTGTAGGACCGTTCAGTCATTGTCGACTGAAATCGGTCCGACTTTGCCGGCAGCGTGGGGTTCCTGCTTGGTGACGGGCCCATCCTCGGTAGGAGGTGGGCTGCTACCAGCGGTTCCATGGGCGGTATGCGGAGCAGGCCGAGCTTCTCCATTCCATCACAGTCTAGGGAGGAGGCACCCTGGATTGGGACCTTGTTGCTTAAGGGCCGGTCTCTCCACGAGACCGACACCTCATCCAACATCTCCGGGAAGACCGGAAGGAGTTGCCTCTTTGTCCGCGCTGCTTGGGGAAAATGTTTCCCTTCGTAGCGGGACCTGGAGGTCTCCTTGGCCATTTCAGGCCACGGGATGTCGAGTCTGGCCGCAGCGCGTTTGCACACGGCCTGCAGGTCCATGCTCAGACAGGGCGAAGCTGGTGTGCTATCGTCTGGGAGAGCAGCCTGAGCCGATGACATGAAGATGTCCTCTTCATGTTCATCCGACTCGGACAGGAGGAACACCGAGGCGTCCTCTTCGTCCTCGTCGTAGTTCAGCTCGAGGACATCCTCCGCGGGTGAGACCATGGTGAGGTCTAACTGGGAGCCCCAGCTCGGTAAAGCGTGGGGTCCCGTTCCCGCGTGTCTCGCCGTCACCGGGTCCCGGCCTGCCAGGGCGCGGGAATCCGGTTCTGCGGCCATCGCAGATACTGAGCCCCAGACCGACATGGAGAG